TTAAGTTATAATACTTCTTATTGCTAAAAGAATTCAATTAATTTTAATTTTATATATCAGAAGTATTTTTATCAAAGAAGGAAGTAATTATTTGTAATTTAGAAATTTTCTCAATATAATTTTATATTTAATTAAATTAATGAAAAAGTATAAAGGTATCAATAGTCAGATAATTAACTAAAGGCTTTTTGAGAAGTATTGCCAATCTCAAAATTATTATTACACAAGAGATATTAATGATATTCTGAGTGATGCTACTACAAAAGGTGTAATTAGATATAAAGATTGGAATTGTTATGATGAAGAAGTATAATGATATTAATAATTAGGATGAATACCTAAAACGCAGTTACAAGTTAGGAGAGTATCCTTCCAAAATTGCATTGTTAGCTGAATATTATAAGGTACTTTAAAAATATAATATAATTTAGTTTCACAGCGATATTGCAAGAATCTTTTAAGAACCAGTGGCTTCGATGCTTAACAAGTATTATGATAAAAAGAGAAAATACGAGTATTATAGAATAGCTAAGCTTATTGAAGATGAGAATAAGAAAAATCCACATAAACCTCCTAAAGGTATTGTTGGAGATAAACCATCGCCATTAAACTCATAGGAATCAAATTAAAATAATGAAGAAGAGTAAAATGAATCAAATCTGTAAAACATTCAAATTTTAAAAGAGTTGAGTTGGTTAAATTAACTATAATAAGTATTTCCTTATTTGTTATATGATTAGTAAAGTGAGAAACCAGCTAAGATTAAACATGACGTATCATATACGTTAAATGAAATTTGTAAATAAATAGGAAATTACCCTGACTAATCTTCATTATATATTCCATAAAATGTTAAATCAGAAGAAATTAAATTAGAAAACTTTCTCTCATATTTAAATAAAAAATAAATCAATCCAAAAAAATATACTACTTAACCTTCTGATTAAATTATACAGTCATTATTATAATTGCATTAACCAAAAAATTAGAATAATATATAGAAGAAAATTGAGATCAATTATCTATTGAAAACATAAAATAATGAATATCCAAATAATAATAAAAATTATAATTTTGTTAAAAATTCATTAGATTATTTAAATAGAAAGCAAGAAAAAAATAAGATATCTATTGATGAAATGGCAACTAAAATTGATAGTAGATTAAGTGAATCCTTAAAATAAAAGTCTAAGAATTAATTAATTACAAGTTAAAATAATAATAAAAATACTTCTCCAACAACTTAAATTAACCAAAAAACCACAATTGGATCATTTGCTAATATTAAAACTTAATAATCTCAAACTAATCAAAACAAGAATTATATTGCTAAATTATTAATTGAAGACGATTAGATATCACCTGATATGAAATGGAAAAACGGAGCATTAACTCATCGACCTATTTCAGGGACTCAAAATTTTTTCAATTCAGACAGAAATAGTCCATTTTTTAAGAAAATGAAATCAGAAAACGTTAAATTTTAAAAAGCAAAAACATAACATCAATATAATAATAATTTAAATACCAAAAATTTGGTTAACAACTAACCAAAATCAAGAAAAACTACTTCTTAAAATATTCACATTAGATAAACCTCCAATTAAGAAAGATTGATGACTTTTCATAATAATAATGATATCAATGATTATAAAAACAAAAACACAAGGCTATTATTTTAAGAATTAAAATAATCATCAGGCCATAAAAAACATTTTTCAGATAGTAGAGGTTTATATCAAAAAGAATAATTAAATGATTTAGTTTGTTTAACTGAAAGAGGATCTAATTTTGAATTTCTATTAAAAAACAATCATACTTAGCAATGCTCTCCAAAAGGACATAATTTTAAAAAGATGAACAGTGGCACCTTTAATCCTCCAAAATCTAATATTCCTTTAGAAAAAGGAACTTTGATACAGCAAATGATTATAAAAGTAGCCAAGTAAAACCAATAAAAATAAATCATTAATAATAATAAGATAACATACAAACATTCTTGACTTTTATTTTTGTTATTATCAATCTATATATATTATTTTTATTATAATGAGTTTTCATTACACAAACTATTAATCTATTTAAGTAAATAAAGATCGAATTGATACATAAAGAGAACTGGATCATTAATTTACTAGAGTAGCAGCTAGAAAAAATAGTATGGCCATAAAAACAAAAAGTATAGGTCAAAGAATTTTAAATTTTGTTGGCAAATAGATGTCTGTTGATTATTAAGAGCGATTAGTTTTAAAAAGTTTATAAGCATAAAATGTAAATGCTAAGAAATTTATTGAAATCCTTTTAAAGCAAAAACATAATCTTAAAAATTTAAAACATAAACATTTATAAATCATTAATGATAAAGCCTTAGGAAATATTGATAAATTATCAACATAATCAAGTTTTAAAATCTTTATAGATAAATTGTTAAAAAAAAGACTTTTGAGAATTTTTAAACCGATTGTAGAATGTTTCAGTCATTGTATAATTGCAATTCCTTTATTGTATCCAGAAAACAGAAGAATTATTCTTTGGGATATTATTGCAATTTTATCGAAACTATATTTTCTGTATTTAATTCCTTTAGAATTGGCTTGGACAAATCAATCATTAATGTTTAATCGTTATTACACATCCACTATAGTGATGCTAATTATATTGTTCATTGATTTCTTAATTGGACTAAATACTGCTTATTATAATGCAGGATCACTTATTATTGATAGGTTGGAAATCTTTAAACATTAAATTAGCAAGTCTTATGGCTTGGAATGGATTTCAACTTTAATATTAGCTGCTATTTTTATAGTATTTAAATCTCTTTAAATTACTACAATTAATGTGACTTAAAATCCTAGTTATTTAATTTTACTGACAGTATTATCACATTAAACAAGCGTACATTATAAAGCTAGTGAATATGAATTAGCTTTGAATTTATCCAAGAAAGCCTCAAGTTACTTAGAATTATTAAAATTTTTGTTATTATTATTTTATGTCATTCACTTGTTTTCTTGCTTATGGTTCTGGGTATTTTTACATTTTTAAATTAGGTTGGTAATTATAGTCGAGAGAATTATTAATTGAACTGGTTAGATTCTTTAAAAGATATTCCAATTTTGGATTGGACAGATGAATACTTATAATCATTTTATTATACTTGTGTAACAATGTTTACAATAGGATATGGAGATATTGCTCCATAAAGTGGATTAGAAAAATCAATTTGCATCTTTCTTATTTTAGTATCAAGTATTCAATTGCCCTATTCTATAAATACGGTTGGTTCAATAATTGAGAAAATAACAGATTATGGAGAGGACACAAAAAATAAGTTAAGAACCATTAATAGCTATATGAATAAAAAAAAAGTGCCATATTATTTGTAGAATTAAATTAGATAATATTTAAATCATTATTGGGAATCAATAGAAGGTTAGGATACTGAAGAAGAAAAAGTGATTATTTCTTAATTATCAGAAAATCTAAGAGAATAATTAATTATACAAGCTAATAGTCAAATATTTTCTAAGGTACCTCTATTATAAAAGAACTTTAGCATTTAATTTCAACAGAATTTATTAAAGAAAATTAATTCCTTATAACTTTAACCTGAATAAATTATTGATCTTGATAACAGTGATATTAAATTTTATTTTGTCGACGAAGGTGAAATAGATGTTTTAATGGAATCAGGCCAAATAATATAAAAAGCAAAAAAAGATGATGTCTTTGGATTAAAAAACTTATTTATAGGAAATATTATTAAAAATAAGAAACTAAAAAGTGTAGGATTTACTAAACTATTAGTATTATCTAGAAATGACTTTTTGTAGGAGCTAAAAGATTTTCCAAATGATTACGAAAAGTTTTGCCATATCAAAGATGATTTAATATATAATTACAAATCTACTTATATTCACAGGCTATGTGAGTCTTGTTCATCTTAAGCACATGAAATAAATCTTTGCCCTTTGCTTCATTTTATTCCTTAAAAAGATCTTATCATAAAGCGATATTAATATGCTTTGTTTTAATAAAGAAAAGTATTTTGCAGAAGACCCTTTAAGTCTTAGAGATTGGAAAATGATTAAATAGACAATTTAGATTTTAATGAAATCAAATAATAATTTATAAAGAAATATCACCTTCCTCAGTAATAATAAACCACCAGTAATAACATTAATACTATGTCATTCTAAAATGGAATCCCAGAAGATTTTAAAGAATCAAAAGAATCAAAAATAGAATATTAATTGAGTTCTACAGCATAGGTCAGTTTAAAAAGAGATTCAGTGTTGGCATTATCATAGATTCCAGGAGATCATATAGAATAAATAAAAAGAACTATAAATAATCATAATCGACTAAGAACTAATAAACAAATTAATAATAAACAAGTAGATTATTAATTAGATGGAATGGGGATATTAAAATAGAATAGTCTTGCTTCAAGAAGATAATCCCAAGGATTAAACATATTAAATATTTATTAATTAGGTTTGAATAATTAAAACAATAATAGTAATTTTAAATAAAGTTATACTCATGAATCACTTACTAGTCCTATCAATGAAATAAATTTAGATGATGAATTAAAATAGAGATATGAAAACTTAAAATTAATAAAAAGTATGAATACTTTTGATAGGGAATCTATTGAATTATTATATTTTAAATAGCAAAATCTCTAAAAGTATATGAAAAAAGGATTAACAGAATTTGAAGTAAGCAAAATTTTTCATGATTATTATCCTTAACATAATGTTGATAGATAAATAAGAAGAATTAATAAAAATGACAATTTTTAACTTTAAGATCTGATTAAAAAATATATTTCTTATTTACAATATCCTGCAGAGTTTATTAAGATTTATAATGTGTCGCATGCTTATAAATATGGTGGCATAAGAATTACAGAGGAGGAAAATGTTTGAGAAACAATAATCTTTGGCTAGTTTCTATATTAATTATTAAAATAATTTATCAATAAATTTTCTATGAATTTTGATTAAATTAATTCTGAACCAGATGAGCCTAATCTAGACACTATATAAAATAAAGAAAAATGTAAATAAAGTCCAAAAGAATTAATAAAAAAAAGAAATAAAAGAAATGCATTATCTGATTATAACAAATTATAGTAATTTAACGAGCAATTGATAGTTGAAAGATAAATATAAAATAGAGGTTCTATGCTATCTTTCTTTTTAAAAAACATTTATGTGAAGAGATTTTTAAACAGATTGTTATTAAGAAAGAAAATCAAACAATAATACTAACAAGAAATATTTAATTTGATTGATGATAAATCTGCTTACTACACAACCATTTCAAATAGGATTCAATAATTTCCATCTTTGTTAAATTTAGATTTTTTTTAAAATGTGACAAATTTAATGGAGAAAAAAGTATATTTTGTCATCAAGAAATATATAAGCATAATTCCTATCATACAACCAGAAAATTATGCTAAAATAACCTTTGATGTAATTGGAACGACAGCAAGATTATATTTTTTGTACTTGATTCCAGTTGATTTAGCTTGGGCATAGTATGCATTTCTATTTTAATCATTATCTTTCATTACCATTATTATGATTACTATTTTGATAGCAGAATTCTTATTTAATTTAAATGTTGCATATTATTAGGAAGGGAATATGGTTACTGACAGAAAATAAATCGCAAAGAATCTTATTAGCAAATCATATGGCCTAGAAATTTTTTCAACCATTACCCTTATTTTAGATCTTATATTTCCAGATATTTAAACTTAAAAATAAGATAGCACTCCTTAAAATTTGATCTTTCTATTATTTCTTGTGCATAAGGTTAATATTGACAGAATAGTAACAGTTTATGAAACTGCTATTAATTTAAGTAAGAAGTTTTCTTCATATTTAACTTTGGTCAAATTGCTGATGTTTTTCTTCTATGTTGTTCATGTATTTGCTTGCTTATGGTATTGGGTTGGAAAATATAATAAAAATAATCCAGAAAATTGGTTATATAGAGCAGAAATTATGGATGATAGTTGGGACCAACAATATTTAGTTTCATTTTATTATGCCTGCGTAACAATGTTTACAGTCGGATATGGTGATCTAACACCTAAGACATAAATAGAAAGAGTCGTAACAATTCTATTTATAATATTATCAAGTGTGCAATTACCATATTCTGTCAACACAGTAGGAAATATAATATAGCAAATATCTGCTTATGGCGAGGAAAGAAAAAATAAACTCAGAACTATAAACTCTTATATGTAGAGAAAAACTGTACCATATACTTTGCAAAATTAAATTAGATAATACCTTGATTATTATTGGTAACTATAAGCAAGTGAAGAAAGTGAAGATGAAAAGTAAATTATTTAATAACTTCCAGAAAACTTAAGAGATACTCTTATGATTAAAGCTAATCATTCATTTTTTAATAAAGTATCATTATTTAAGGATAATTTCTCAATAGCATTTAAGCAAAAGCTATTAAAAAAAATTAACCATTTGGTTTTATAACCTGGACAAATCATTGAAATTCCAGATGAAAAGCAAGATTGCCCTATATTATTTTACATAGAGGAAGGTACAATAGAAGTTTTTCTTAATTAAAAGCATAAACAATGTATCAGAAAAGTAAACAAATAATAAGCTTTGGGAATAGATAATTTTATAGTAGGTACTTTAACTACTGAAATTTTTAAAAGTATCGGTCTATCTAAGTTATTAATTCTTCAAAGAAATGATTTTATTAATGTTATAAGTTAATTTCCTGAAGATTTTGAGACATTTTGTAAATTAAAGGATGATATTATATTTAATCAGGATCTTTAGCTATTTGAATATAATTGCATTGCTTGCGGAATGAATAGCCACAAAGTTGTTCATTGTCCTTTTATACATTATGCTCCCTAAAAAGATTTTATTATTAAAAAGTTCAATTATTATTAAAATTAAAAGAGAAGGGATCATCTTAGATCAAATAATAAAACAAAAAGATATTTTTAATTATCTGAATTAAATTTTCTTAAGAAATAGATTTCTATAATATCTAATAAAATAACAGCTCCACATCTAGTGTAAAATAAATAATAATATAAGTCGCTAACTTAATCAAAGAATCTTCTTAGTAATCATCATGTTAAATCTAATAGTTAATAAAAGCTACTAGATATGTAGCCATTAAGGCTTGTTGATTATGGAGAGAAACCTATTATAAAATAAAATCTGCGAGGTAATGCACAAAATACATTCAGAATAAATTAAAAATCAAACACAAAAAGACTATTTATAGATGCTGTTAAAAAAGTAATAGCTATTTAGAGATGGTTTGGTAGGAATGATTTAAGTATGATAGATAGATTTGAAACTTCATTCAATTGTAAATTGATAAGAGAATTAATTGTTGATCTTAAGAGGGCTAAAGAAATAAATTAAAAGGATTTGGATTCAATTGAAATGCTGTTAATTAAAACTAAGAATCTAAATAAATATGAAAGGAAACGAATGGATTAATTTGAATTAGCTAGAGAATTCAAAGTTTATTTTTCATCATTTAATTTATCAAAGATAGTTGAGAGATTAAACTTTACTAAATTTTAAAAATATTACATAAGGAAATTATAAAAATTATTACCTTATTTAAAGTACCCTGGTAATTTTATTAGATAGTATAAAGTAAAATTGAAACATAAAAAATTAAAAAGATCGCATAATAATAATGTACTTCTTTATTGATTAGGTTTAATAATATAAATATTCCTACCTTTTTTAATTAATAAAGAATATTTTGTATTTTTACTATAAATATAATTTATAAATATTATTGATGGTGAACATCTAACTGCCTTTCTTGATCTGAAAAAATAGAATTATTAGAAATTATTACAGAATTTCATCAACTTAAATTATAAACTATTAAAAGAGATCACTTCTTTTTTTTTAATTTGATATTATTCCAAATAATCATGTTATGTTGCCAGTATTTATTTTTTATTTTTGTAAATTAAATATTTCTCCAAGTTATGATTGTAAATAGTAGAAAAATTAGTTATTAATTCCTCAAAACATAAATTCATATACCAACATCAATTTACAAATATTTCACCTATATTTGATAGAAGCATATGTGATTTAATTTAAATATCAATATGTTTATTCAAAGAGAAACTAAGGTAAAATTTCTTAGGTACCATTTGCAAAATGTTCTTGTTGACAGCTTTTTAATACTCTACGAAGATTGCTTTTGATGTTCAAGAATTTTACAATTAATAGCTTAAAAAGGCTAAGAATTACTTGATTATTAGAAAAATTCTTTATATTTTCGAAAATATTAATTCACATTTTTGCAATTTCAAAAAAAAAGGCCATATATTTAATTTTCAAAACTTCTTATCTGATTTTTTTATTAAAAAAAAATTTCCACAAATTAATTACAAAGTAAGATAATATTAACATTTTATAACAACCACTTTGAGAAAAGTATTTTATCATATTATTTAATATTATTCTTTTTTAACAGAATTTTGGCATTAAAACAAGGAGATAAAAAATATTAATTTAATAAATAAATTTTTTTTTACTTAGATCATTAAATTCTTAGTTCCTTATCAATTAAATAAGCATATAATTTTGGTGATTATGTAGAAAAATATAAATAAATTAAATCAATATCATTTTAGTAGAAAATAAATATACAAACTCAAAAATTTTTGTTTTCCAACTAAAAACAAATTAAATTCATATATTTAAAAAAAGTAATAGATATAGTTTTCTTTTTAAAAAATAATTTTTAAGCATTTCTTTTGTATATTTATAATAAAATAATTAAATTTTGTTCTAGAAGTATTAAGTCATCTTATTAGGGCCTAAAGAAAGGGTAAAAATATATATTTATTTAGTATACAAGAAGAGCCAATTATATTTTAATTGTTATTTCAGTAATTAATAAGAAAGTATTTGATAAAAATAACTTTATATTTAATGAATAAAATCAAAAAGGATTTAATTTTGGCGCAATACTACATAATCAAATGTATTTAAACTAATTATTTTTTTATTAAAATTTGTCAAACTTTTACTAATTTTATCATAAAAGGAAAAATTGATAAAGAGTGTTTCAATTTTTTCATGCATTTTTGTCATAAACTAAGAGGCAAAAGAATTTCTGCTTATTCAACAGTGAGAAATTAGAAAAAATAAAGTGATTCAGATGTGGAATTAAAATTTAAATAAACTATAAAATATTCGTTTTTAGTTTTTTTACATAAAAGAAATCATCATACTCTGGATAGAGATTTTTTATTTTATTTAACTAATGCTTAATAAACTTTTGTTTATAAAAATGAAAATTTTACATTTATAAGTCAATTTAATATCTCAAAATCTCATTAATTAAAATAATATTTATGAAAAGCAATCTAATTTTTATGTTTATCTTAATATAGACTCTTAAAAAAGGGTTATGCTCTGTCCCTTGTGAGAATAATAACCGATGCAGTCAATGTGACTAAGCCAATTAATTTTGTTAATAGTGTATTGGAGGTTATATTTTAGGAGATAATGAATGCTTACGTAAAAAGTTTAATATAGTGTAGCTTGCATTACAGGATGCTAAGAGTGTGGAATTGGCTATTATTTAGATAATACCACCTGCATTGTCTGTTCAACTAATTGTAATAATTGCTCATCCGGAACTCAATGTAACTCGTGCGATTCTGGCTACCAAATCGTCAATGGATATTGTTAGGCATGTTCAGATTCCCAATACTACTCTTCTTAACATTGTTATGATTGCTCTACCAATTGTAAAACATGTTCGACAAGTGAAACAAACTGTACATCATGTGCTCCAGGAAAATACATCCAAGGAAATGAATGTTTGTCTTGTGTAACTCCATGTGCTGAGTGCGAATCTTAAAATCTATGTACTAAATGTAATTCAGGATATTGGGTTGATAACCAAGCTTGTACTAAATGCAATGATAAATGTAAAACATGCACATCCGAAACTCAATGTCAAACTTGTGCTGATAGCTATTACTTAGATGGAACTTCATGTTTAACTTGTCCAACTGGATGTACATTGTGCTCTAGTTCTTCTGTATGCACCTCTTGCCAATTAAATTATTATTTGGATGGCACTTGCAAATAATGTTCTCCTGGATCATTCATATAAGGAAATGCTTGCTCTTCATGCGATAGCCTTTGTGCCACCTGTGAAACCTCAGCCACCAATTGTTTATCTTGTTAACCCAAATACTTTTTGAATAATAATACCTGTTAATAATGCTCATCCCCTTGTGACACTTGCGAATCCGCTCAGGCTTGCTTAAGTTGTGTTGTTGGATAATATTACATCAGTGAAAGTAAGACTTGTGAATCTTGCCAATCGCCCTGCACAGAATGTTCGTAATCTGGAAATTCAAGTTGTTCTAAGTGTATTGATGGCTATTACTTGGAATCAAGCAGCTGTAAAGCTTGTTCGTCACCATGTGTAAATTGCTCAAATGCTACAACATGCTTAACCTGTATTAGTGGATATTTCTTTGAGGGAACTTAGTGCTCATAATGTGCTTAAGAGTGTGCTATTTGCAATGGACCTGCATCTTCTCAATGTTCAAGTTGCAAACAATCATATTATCTTGAGGGAACAACATGCAAACGTAAATCCTTTATATTAATTATTTTTCTTAGATTGCCCTGTAAAATGCCAATCGACTTGTTAATTCTTAGATACTTCTGTAAAATGTGATGCTTGCGCTTCTGGATACTTTGGTGATACTTGCGAATAATGTTCTAGTACTTGCAAAACTTGTGTTGATTTAGCTACAACATGTACTTCATGCAATACTGGATATTACTTGAATGGCTAAGCTTGTAATCAATGTGCCTTGCATTGTGTTACTTGTGAAGATGGAACAGGATACTGTTTAAGCTGTGATTCAGGTTATTTGATCGATGAGTTCCACAAATGTGCAAGTAATTTATCATTTCTATAAAACAATAGCTTGTTCAAATTGTACTTGTTCAAATGGATAATATTATGACAGTTCTTAGTCAATGTGCAAAGGATGTGATTAATCTTGTACTTAATGTGTTGGTACCCCGACTAATTGTCAATCTTGTGCATCTTAATTTTATTTGGATAACTCAACTTGTACTGATTGTCCAGATCCTTGCTTAACTTGCAGTGCAGTCGGCATCTGTCAAACATGCATTGCTGGATATTATTTAGACATTTCGACATGTAAAAAATGTGAATCACCTTGTGTAAACTGTTCACTTGGAGGAAACTCAAATTGTTCATCATGCATAGATGGATATTATCTTGATGGTTCAATTTGCAAACAATGTGATCTGATTTGTCAAAGATGCTCAACCACTTCAAATAATTGTTCCCTATGCCAAATGGGCTATTATTTAGATAATACCACCTGCATTGTCTGTTCAACTAATTGTAATAATTGCTCATCCGGAACTCAATGTAACTCGTGCGATTCTGGCTACCAAATCGTCAATGGATATTGTTAGGCATGTTCAGATTCCCAATACTACTCTTCTTAACATTGTTATGATTGCTCTACCAATTGTAAAACATGTTCGACAAGTGAAACAAACTGTACATCATGTGCTCCAGGAAAATACATCCAAGGAAATGAATGTTTGTCTTGTGTAACTCCATGTGCTGAGTGCGAATCTTAAAATCTATGTACTAAATGTAATTCAGGATATTGGGTTGATAACCAAGCTTGTACTAAATGCAATGATAAATGTAAAACATGCACATCCGAAACTCAATGTCAAACTTGTGCTGATAGCTATTACTTAGATGGAACTTCATGTTTAACTTGTCCAACTGGATGTACATTGTGCTCTAGTTCTTCTGTATGCACCTCTTGCCAATTAAATTATTATTTGGATGGCACTTGCAAATAATGTTCTCCTGGATCATTCATATAAGGAAATGCTTGCTCTTCATGCGATAGCCTTTGTGCCACCTGTGAAACCTCAGCCACCAATTGTTTATCTTGTTAACCCAAATACTTTTTGAATAATAATACCTGTTAATAATGCTCATCCCCTTGTGACACTTGCGAATCCGCTCAGGCTTGCTTAAGTTGTGTTGTTGGATAATATTACATCAGTGAAAGTAAGACTTGTGAATCTTGCCAATCGCCCTGCACAGAATGTTCGTAATCTGGAAATTCAAGTTGTTCTAAGTGTATTGATGGCTATTACTTGGAATCAAGCAGCTGTAAAGCTTGTTCGTCACCATGTGTAAATTGCTCAAATGCTACAACATGCTTAACCTGTATTAGTGGATATTTCTTTGAGGGAACTTAGTGCTCATAATGTGCTTAAGAGTGTGCTATTTGCAATGGACCTGCATCTTCTCAATGTTCAAGTTGCAAACAATCATATTATCTTGAGGGAACAACATGCAAACGTAAATCCTTTATATTAATTATTTTTCTTAGATTGCCCTGTAAAATGCCAATCGACTTGTTAATTCTTAGATACTTCTGTAAAATGTGATGCTTGCGCTTCTGGATACTTTGGTGATACTTGCGAATAATGTTCTAGTACTTGCAAAACTTGTGTTGATTTAGCTACAACATGTACTTCATGCAATACTGGATATTACTTGAATGGCTAAGCTTGTAATCAATGTGCCTTGCATTGTGTTACTTGTGAAGATGGAACAGGATACTGTTTAAGCTGTGATTCAGGTTATTTGATCGATGAGTTCCACAAATGTGCAAGTAATTTATCATTTCTATAAAACAATAGCTTGTTCAAATTGTACTTGTTCAAATGGATAATATTATGACAGTTCTTAGTCAATGTGCAAAGGATGTGATTAATCTTGTACTTAATGTGTTGGTACCCCGACTAATTGTCAATCTTGTGCATCTTAATTTTATTTGGATAACTCAACTTGTACTGATTGTCCAGATCCTTGCTTAACTTGCAGTGCAGTCGGCATCTGTCAAACATGCATTGCTGGATATTATTTAGACATTTCGACATGTAAAAAATGTGAATCACCTTGTGTAAACTGTTCACTTGGAGGAAACTCAAATTGTTCATCATGCATAGATGGATATTATCTTGATGGTTCAATTTGCAAACAATGTGATCTGATTTGTCAAAGATGCTCAACCACTTCAAATAATTGTTCCCTATGCCAAATGGGCTATTATTTAGATAATACCACCTGCATTGTCTGTTCAACTAATTGTAATAATTGCTCATCCGGAACTCAATGTAACTCGTGCGATTCTGGCTACCAAATCGTCAATGGATATTGTTAGGCATGTTCAGATTCCCAATACTACTCTTCTTAACATTGTTATGATTGCTCTACCAATTGTAAAACATGTTCGACAAGTGAAACAAACTGTACATCATGTGCTCCAGGAAAATACATCCAAGGAAATGAATGTTTGTCTTGTGTAACTCCATGTGCTGAGTGCGAATCTTAAAATCTATGTACTAAATGTAATTCAGGATATTGGGTTGATAACCAAGCTTGTACTAAATGCAATGATAAATGTAAAACATGCACATCCGAAACTCAATGTCAAACTTGTGCTGATAGCTATTACTTAGATGGAACTTCATGTTTAACTTGTCCAACTGGATGTACATTGTGCTCTAGTTCTTCTGTATGCACCTCTTGCCAATTAAATTATTATTTGGATGGCACTTGCAAATAATGTTCTCCTGGATCATTCATATAAGGAAATGCTTGCTCTTCATGCGATAGCCTTTGTGCCACCTGTGAAACCTCAGCCACCAATTGTTTATCTTGTTAACCCAAATACTTTTTGAATAATAATACCTGTTAATAATGCTCATCCCCTTGTGACACTTGCGAATCCGCTCAGGCTTGCTTAAGTTGTGTTGTTGGATAATATTACATCAGTGAAAGTAAGACTTGTGAATCTTGCCAATCGCCCTGCACAGAATGTTCGTAATCTGGAAATTCAAGTTGTTCTAAGTGTATTGATGGCTATTACTTGGAATCAAGCAGCTGTAAAGCTTGTTCGTCACCATGTGTAAATTGCTCAAATGCTACAACATGCTTAACCTGTATTAGTGGATATTTCTTTGAGGGAACTTAGTGCTCATAATGTGCTTAAGAGTGTGCTATTTGCAATGGACCTGCATCTTCTCAATGTTCAAGTTGCAAACAATCATATTATCTTGAGGGAACAACATGCAAACGTAAATCCTTTATATTAATTATTTTTCTTAGATTGCCCTGTAAAATGCCAATCGACTTGTTAATTCTTAGATACTTCTGTAAAATGTGATGCTTGCGCTTCTGGATACTTTGGTGATACTTGCGAATAATGTTCTAGTACTTGCAAAACTTGTGTTGATTTAGCTACAACATGTACTTCATGCAATACTGGATATTACTTGAATGGCTAAGCTTGTAATCAATGTGCCTTGCATTGTGTTACTTGTGAAGATGGAACAGGATACTGTTTAAGCTGTGATTCAGGTTATTTGATCGATGAGTTCCACAAATGTGCAAGTAATTTATCATTTCTATAAAACAATAGCTTGTTCAAATTGTACTTGTTCAAATGGATAATATTATGACAGTTCTTAGTCAATGTGCAAAGGATGTGATTAATCTTGTACTTAATGTGTTGGTACCCCGACTAATTGTCAATCTTGTGCATCTTAATTTTATTTGGATAACTCAACTTGTACTGATTGTCCAGATCCTTGCTTAACTTGCAGTGCAGTCGGCATCTGTCAAACATGCATTGCTGGATATTATTTAGACATTTCGACATGTAAAAAATGTGAATCACCTTGTGTAAACTGTTCACTTGGAGGAAACTCAAATTGTTCATCATGCATAGATGGATATTATCTTGATGGTTCAATTTGCAAACAATGTGATCTGATTTGTCAAAGATGCTCAACCACTTCAAATAATTGTTCCCTATGCCAAATGGGCTATTATTTAGATAATACCACCTGCATTGTCTGTTCAACTAATTGTAATAATTGCTCATCCGGAACTCAATGTAACTCGTGCGATTCTGGCTACCAAATCGTCAATGGATATTGTTAGGCATGTTCAGATTCCCAATACTACTCTTCTTAACATTGTTATGATTGCTCTACCAATTGTAAAACATGTTCGACAAGTGAAACAAACTGTACATCATGTGCTCCAGGAAAATACATCCAAGGAAATGAATGTTTGTCTTGTGTAACTCCATGTGCTGAGTGCGAATCTTAAAATCTATGTACTAAATGTAATTCAGGATATTGGGTTGATAACCAAGCTTGTACTAAATGCAATGATAAATGTAAAACATGCACATCCGAAACTCAATGTCAAACTTGTGCTGATAGCTATTACTTAGATGGAACTTCATGTTTAACTTGTCCAACTGGATGTACATTGTGCTCTAGTTCTTCTGTATGCACCTCTTGCCAATTAAATTATTATTTGGATGGCACTTGCAAATAATGTTCTCCTGGATCATTCATATAAGGAAATGCTTGCTCTTCATGCGATAGCCTTTGTGCCACCTGTGAAACCTCAGCCACCAATTGTTTATCTTGTTAACCCAAATACTTTTTGAATAATAATACCTGTTAATAATGCTCATCCCCTTGTGACACTTGCGAATCCGCTCAGGCTTGCTTAAGTTGTGTTGTTGGATAATATTACATCAGTGAAAGTAAGACTTGTGAATCTTGCCAATCGCCCTGCACAGAATGTTCGTAATCTGGAAATTCAAGTTGTTCTAAGTGTATTGATGGCTATTACTTGGAATCAAGCAGCTGTAAAGCTTGTTCGTCACCATGTGTAAATTGCTCAAATGCTACAACATGCTTAACCTGTATTAGTGGATATTTCTTTGAGGGAACTTAGTGCTCATAATGTGCTTAAGAGTGTGCTATTTGCAATGGACCTGCATCTTCTCAATGTTCAAGTTGCAAACAATCATATTATCTTGAGGGAACAACATGCAAACGTAAATCCTTTATATTAATTATTTTTCTTAGATTGCCCTGTAAAATGCCAATCGACTTGTTAATTCTTAGATACTTCTGTAAAATGTGATGCTTGCGCTTCTGGATACTTTGGTGATACTTGCGAATAATGTTCTAGTACTTGCAAAACTTGTGTTGATTTAGCTACAACATGTACTTCATGCAATACTGGATATTACTTGAATGGCTAAGCTTGTAATCAATGTGCCTTGCATTGTGTTACTTGTGAAGATGGAACAGGATACTGTTTAAGCTGTGATTCAGGTTATTTGATCGATGAGTTCCACAAATGTGCAAGTAATTTATCATTTCTATAAAACAATAGCTTGTTCAAATTGTACTTGTTCAAATGGATAATATTATGACAGTTCTTAGTCAATGTGCAAAGGATGTGATTAATCTTGTACTTAATGTGTTGGTACCCCGACTAATTGTCAATCTTGTGCATCTTAATTTTATTTGGATAACTCAACTTGTACTGATTGTCCAGATCCTTGCTTAACTTGCAGTGCAGTCGGCATCTGTCAAACATGCATTGCTGGATATTATTTAGACATTTCGACATGTAAAAAATGTGAATCACCTTGTGTAAACTGTTCACTTGGAGGAAACTCAAATTGTTCATCATGCATAGATGGATATTATCTTGATGGTTCAATTTGCAAACAATGTGATCTGATTTGTCAAAGATGCTCAACCACTTCAAATAATTGTTCCCTATGCCAAATGGGCTATTATTTAGATAATACCACCTGCATTGTCTGTTCAACTAATTGTAATAATTGCTCATCCGGAACTCAATGTAACTCGTGCGATTCTGGCTACCAAATCGTCAATGGATATTGTTAGGCATGTTCAGATTCCCAATACTACTCTTCTTAACATTGTTATGATTGCTCTACCAATTGTAAAACATGTTCGACAAGTGAAACAAACTGTACATCATGTGCTCCAGGAAAATACATCCAAGGAAATGAATGTTTGTCTTGTGTAACTCCATGTGCTGAGTGCGAATCTTAAAATCTATGTACTAAATGTAATTCAGGATATTGGGTTGATAACCAAGCTTGTACTAAATGCAATGATAAATGTAAAACATGCACATCCGAAACTCAATGTCAAACTTGTGCTGATAGCTATTACTTAGATGGAACTTCATGTTTAACTTGTCCAACTGGATGTACATTGTGCTCTAGTTCTTCTGTATGCACCTCTTGCCAATTAAATTATTATTTGGATGGCACTTGCAAATAATGTTCTCCTGGATCATTCATATAAGGAAATGCTTGCTCTTCATGCGATAGCCTTTGTGCCACCTGTGAAACCTCAGCCACCAATTGTTTATCTTGTTAACCCAAATACTTTTTGAATAATAATACCTGTTAATAATGCTCATCCCCTTGTGACACTTGCGAATCCGCTCAGGCTTGCTTAAGTTGTGTTGTTGGATAATATTACATCAGTGAAAGTAAGACTTGTGAATCTTGCCAATCGCCCTGCACAGAATGTTCGTAATCTGGAAATTCAAGTTGTTCTAAGTGTATTGATGGCTATTACTTGGAATCAAGCAGCTGTAAAGCTTGTTCGTCACCATGTGTAAATTGCTCAAATGCTACAACATGCTTAACCTGTATTAGTGGATATTTCTTTGAGGGAACTTAGTGCTCATAATGTGCTTAAGAGTGTGCTATTTGCAATGGACCTGCATCTTCTCAATGTTCAAGTTGCAAACAATCATATTATCTTGAGGGAACAACATGCAAACGTAAATCCTTTATATTAATTATTTTTCTTAGATTGCCCTGTAAAATGCCAATCGACTTGTTAATTCTTAGATACTTCTGTAAAATGTGATGCTTGCGCTTCTGGATACTTTGGTGATACTTGCGAATAATGTTCTAGTACTTGCAAAACTTGTGTTGATTTAGCTACAACATGTACTTCATGCAATACTGGATATTACTTGAATGGCTAAGCTTGTAATCAATGTGCCTTGCATTGTGTTACTTGTGAAGATGGAACAGGATACTGTTTAAGCTGTGATTCAGGTTATTTGATCGATGAGTTCCACAAATGTGCAAGTAATTTATCATTTCTATAAAACAATAGCTTGTTCAAATTGTACTTGTTCAAATGGATAATATTATGACAGTTCTTAGTCAATGTGCAAAGGATGTGATTAATCTTGTACTTAATGTGTTGGTACCCCGACTAATTGTCAATCTTGTGCATCTTAATTTTATTTGGATAACTCAACTTGTACTGATTGTCCAGATCCTTGCTTAACTTGCAGTGCAGTCGGCATCTGTCAAACATGCATTGCTGGATATTATTTAGACATTTCGACATGTAAAAAATGTGAATCACCTTGTGTAAACTGTTCACTTGGAGGAAACTCAAATTGTTCATCATGCATAGATGGATATTATCTTGATGGTTCAATTTGCAAACAATGTGATCTGATTTGTCAAAGATGCTCAACCACTTCAAATAATTGTTCCCTATGCCAAATGGGCTATTATTTAGATAATACCACCTGCATTGTCTGTTCAACTAATTGTAATAATTGCTCATCCGGAACTCAATGTAACTCGTGCGATTCTGGCTACCAAATCGTCAATGGATATTGTTAGGCATGTTCAGATTCCCAATACTACTCTTCTTAACATTGTTATGATTGCTCTACCAATTGTAAAACATGTTCGACAAGTGAAACAAACTGTACATCATGTGCTCCAGGAAAATACATCCAAGGAAATGAATGTTTGTCTTGTGTAACTCCATGTGCTGAGTGCGAATCTTAAAATCTATGTACTAAATGTAATTCAGGATATTGGGTTGATAACCAAGCTTGTACTAAATGCAATGATAAATGTAAAACATGCACATCCGAAACTCAATGTCAAACTTGTGCTGATAGCTATTACTTAGATGGAACTTCATGTTTAACTTGTCCAACTGGATGTACATTGTGCTCTAGTTCTTCTGTATGCACCTCTTGCCAATTAAATTATTATTTGGATGGCACTTGCAAATAATGTTCTCCTGGATCATTCATATAAGGAAATGCTTGCTCTTCATGCGATAGCCTTTGTGCCACCTGTGAAACCTCAGCCACCAATTGTTTATCTTGTTAACCCAAATACTTTTTGAATAATAATACCTGTTAATAATGCTCATCCCCTTGTGACACTTGCGAATCCGCTCAGGCTTGCTTAAGTTGTGTTGTTGGATAATATTACATCAGTGAAAGTAAGACTTGTGAATCTTGCCAATCGCCCTGCACAGAATGTTCGTAATCTGGAAATTCAAGTTGTTCTAAGTGTATTGATGGCTATTACTTGGAATCAAGCAGCTGTAAAGCTTGTTCGTCACCATGTGTAAATTGCTCAAATGCTACAACATGCTTAACCTGTATTAGTGGATATTTCTTTGAGGGAACTTAGTGCTCATAATGTGCTTAAGAGTGTGCTATTTGCAATGGACCTGCATCTTCTCAATGTTCAAGTTGCAAACAATCATATTATCTTGAGGGAACAACATGCAAACGTAAATCCTTTATATTAATTATTTTTCTTAGATTGCCCTGTAAAATGCCAATCGACTTGTTAATTCTTAGATACTTCTGTAAAATGTGATACTTGCGCTTCTGGATACTTTGGTGATACTTGCGAATAATGTTCTAGTACTTGCAAAACTTGCGTTGATTTAGCTACAACATGTACTTCATGCAATACTGGATATTACTTGAATGGCTAAGCTTGTAATCAATGTGCCTTGCATTGTGTTACTTGTGAAGATGGAACAGGATACTGTTTAAGCTGTGATTCAGGCTATATGGTAGATGAGTTCCACAAATGTGCAAGTAATTTATCATTTCTATAAAACAATAGCTTGTTCAAATTGTACTTGTTCAAATGGATAATATTATGACAGTTCTTAGTCAATGTGCAAAGGATGTGATTAATCTTGTACCATGTGTTCAGGAATCAAATCAAATTGTCAAGCTTGCTCTAATGGATTTTATTTAGACTCTTCAACATGTAAGAATTGTGTTGCTCCGTGTAACATATGTACTGCTAGCGATATTTGTTCAAATTGCAACAGCGGTTATTATTTAGACAACAATACTTGTTTACCTTGTTAGTCACCTTGTGTTAATTGTTTGTTAGGAGGAAACACTAATTGTTCGTTATGTTCGACTGGATATTACCTAAATGGATCAATATGTGAAACTTGTGATTCGGCATGTAAAAAGTGTTCTACTACTTCCATCAACTGCTCTGAATGTTAAATAGGATATTATTTAGATGGATCAATTTGTTCAAAATGTTCGAATAATTGCAATGCTTGTGCATCAGAAACTCAGTGCACTTCCTGTGATGCTGGATACGAACTAGTGGATGGTCAATGCATTGCTTGTGGATTTAATCAATATTACTTAAACCTTAAATGTTTATCTTGTTAAAGTCCTTGTAATTCTTGCGAATAAACACCATCTCAATGTACTAGTTGCATAAATGAATATTATTTATCAGGATAATAATGCTTCCAATGTATTTAACCTTGTATTAATTGTACTTCATAAATTGAATGTTTATCATGCATATCAGGAAAATATCTAAGCAATAAGACTTGTTTAAATTGTGAATATCCTTGTAGTTCATGTACTGCTTCAGGCAATTCTAATTGCTAATCATGCTAATCAGGTTATTACTTAGAAAATAGTCAATGCATTTCATGCAGCACAACATTAAGTTCATGTCTTATTTGTAGCAGTAAGTTAACTTGTATTACTTGTGATTCGACGCATTATTTGAATAATGGATAGTGTTTATTATGCTCAAGTACTTGTAAATCATGTTCTGATTAATTTACTTGTACTAGTTGCATCGAAACTCAATTTTTAGAAAATAATACTTGTAAATCATGTTAATCTCCTTGTTTAAATTGTATAACAAATTCAACTAACTGCCTCAGTTGCGTAGATTCATATTATCTCAGCTAGAATTCTTGCATAAGTAATTTAATATTTTATTTTAGAATGTACATCGCCATGTTAAAATTGTTTAAATGGTTCAACTTGTCTTAGCTGTGTTGCAGGATATTATTTTTCTGATGGTTTATGTTCAAAATGTGACAATGCATGTCAATTATGTTCTGGCTCAGCAACTTAATGTTAATTATGTTAAAGTGGATATTACTTATCTGGGTCGAGCTGCATAAGTTGTGTATCTCCTTGCTTAACTTGTTCATCAGAATTATCTTGCAATAGCTGTATAAGCACTTCTTATTACTATTCTAATAATTCTTGTCTCACTTGCTTAACACCGTGTTCAACATGCAGTGGAGAGACTTCTTGTTTGAGTTGCAAAAATGGATACTATTTAGATTAAATTAGTTGTTTGTAATGTATCAGTCCTTGTTAAAATTGCACATCATTATAAATCTGTAATAGTTGTGTTGATACTTATTATCTGAATGGCACAGTTTGCAGTAAATGCCCAGTAAAATGCAAGGATATCTGCAATTTAGTAAATAGCTAGGTTTAGTGTGAAAGTTGTGCAGATGGATTTTATAGCAGCAATTCAGATTGTGTTTAATGCTCAACAAGTTGTAAAACTTGCTAAAATACTGACACTTAGTGTACTTCCTGCTTTACTGGAAAATATTTATCAAACTCATAATGTCTAACCTGTTCAACAAATTGCATGGAATGTGAAGCAAATAGTGGAAACTGTACGTTATGTTCAAGTGGCTACTCTATTAATGCATTTTATTAATGTGCTTAATGTTCTACTTGTAACTGCCCAGATGGATAATATTATGATTAGAGTTAAAATAAATGTTTCGGTTGCGAGGCTAAATGTTCATCATGTTTTGGTGGAATGATTTCTTAATGTACCAGTTGCATAAATGGCTATTATATACAAGACAGTACATGTACATTATGTTAAACACCATGCATTAATTGTACTTCTGCTATTAGTTGTTTATCTTGTATTAGTACAACGTATTTAAGTGGCACTTCATGTTTGACTTGTTAATCCCCTTGTATTAAATGTTAAAGTGCAGACAATACTAATTGTTAAGAATGTATTTCTGGATATTATTTGATTGGAACTGTGTGCACTTAATGTGATTCAAAATGCAAAACTTGTACAACTTCAAGTACATGCTAATCTTGCGCTGATGGATATTATTTAAATGGAACTACTTGTGTTTAATGTCCAATTGGATGCACTTCTTGTATAAATGACTCTACATGTACTGGTTGCAGTTCTGACTATTATTTGGATGGAATTTGTAAATAATGTAGTCTGGGTTAGTTTATATCTAATAACTCTTGCTCACAATGTTAATCCCCTTGTTTTTCATGCGTGACAACTGCTTCTAATTGTTTGAGTTGCATAGATTATTACTACAAACCAGCTAATTTGAATACATGTTAGTAATGTGTTTCACCTTGTAAATTGTGCAGTTCAGATGTTAATTGTTTATCATGTTAGAGTGGATACTATTATACAAGCTCAAATAACTCTTGTACTACATGCTCTTCCCCTTGCTAAACTTGCTAAACTGTAGGAAACACAAATTGTTAATCCTGCGTTACTGGATTTTACTTAGATGGATCAATTTGTAGGGATTGCACGTAATTATCATATTGCCTTGAATGTTCAAACTCAACAATTTGTACAAAATGTGATAGCACCCATTATGTAAGTAATGGTTAATGTTTGACTTGTCAACCCAGATGTGATACTTGTAATAATTCAGCTACTTGCAATAGTTGTTTAAGTGGTAAGTATTTAAATAGCTTGAATACTTGTTCTACATGCTAATCTCCATGCCTAACATGTTCTGGAACCGATGGTTTAACTTGTAGTTCTTGTGAAAACAAATACTATCTTAATGTATCTACTTGCACATAATGTGTTTCTCCATGCTTAACTTGTACAACTGCTGTTAGCTGTAGTTCATGTGTTGATGGAACATATTTAAATGGTTAAGAATGTCTAAGCTGTAATTTTGCCTGTACAAAATGCTCTGGATTTGCTTCCACATGCTCTTCATGCACTGCTGGATATTATTTAAGTGGAACTTCGTGCTTAATTTGTACATCTCCATGTGGTACCTGTGTTGATACTTCAACGAAATGCTTAAGTTGTAATACATTAACTAAATACTTGGATAATAATGCTTGTTTAAATTGTGTTTAACCATGTCAAACTTGTTCTAATGCTGCTTATTGTCTATCTTGTATTTCTACTTATTATCTGACTGCTCAAAACACTTGTTCTTAATGTGTGTCACCATGTGTTACTTGTACAACCTAAACATCTTGTTTATCTTGTATAGATGGATATTATTTGTCAGGCACTTAATGCTTAATTTGCGACAGTAATTGTAGAACTTGTTGGAATAGAGCTGATTATTGTATGACTTGCACTTAAAGGTAATATTTAACAACTGAAAATAAATGTGCAGCATGTACATCGCCTTGTTCATCTTGTGTTAATTCAGCAACTTCTTGCACTTCTTGTTTAGATTTATTTTATTATGAAGCCAATAGTTGTAAGAGGTGTATTTCACCTTGTTGGACTTGTGATTCAGCAAATATCTGCAAATTATGTTTGTCTGGAAAATATTATGATTAAACTTAAAAATATTGTCTGGATTGTGATAAAACTTCATGTGTTACTTGTACAGGAACAGCAACAACCTGTTTGAGTTGTGCCTCTGGTAAATACTTGGAAAATAATACTTGTAAGACATGCGATCCAAAATGTATCGCTTGTACAAGTTTAACAACCTGTCAATCATGCTCAGTTGGTTATTATTATAATGGATCAGAATGCTTAGCATGCACACTTCCTTGTATTGAATGTAACTCAGGTTCAATTTGTACAAAATGTTAAAATGATCTTTACAAACTAAGTCTAAGTCAATGCATTAGTTGTTCATTACCTTGTAGAACTTGTGATTAGGATGTTTGTAAATCTTGTGTAAATAAATACTATTTCGATTCAGCTGAAATTGATACAACAAAGAAATGTAAGTTGTGTATTAGTCCTTGTGATTAATGCACATCCTCAAGTAGTTGCACAACTTGTATTTCAGGATTTTATTTAGATGGAACATCTTGCCTCAAATGTACTAATAATTGTAATACTTGTGAGACTGCAACAAAATGCTTTACCTGTGTTAGTAATTCTTTTTATTTAACTACTTCAAATACTTGTTTAACATGTAGTAATATGGATGCAGCATGTTTGACTTGCAGTGCTTTGAACAGATGTTTAACTTGCAAGGATGGCTTTTTCATATATAATCTAACTTAAAATGGTGTTACAACAAGTACTTGTTAAGCTTGTTCAGTAAAATGCTCAAGTTGTTCCTAGTCCTTATCATAATGTTCAAGGTGTGCAGGTAATAGATAAGGTACTCCTCAATGTACAACTTGTCCATATGGATTTTTTGATAGTGGATTATTGAATTGCGAATAGTGCAATACTAAATTTTGCATCACTTGTTCTGGATCGGCTAAAAATTGCTCCATTTGTGCAAATTAAAGAATCCAACCTCCAACTTGCTTCTGCCGACCTGGTACATATACTTCTGGAGATGATTGTATCTAATGTATGGCTAATTGTTCTTCTTGTACTACTTCAAATTAATGTACTTTATGCAATACTGGATTCTACTACAAATAGAATTGGGATGGATTAGGAAATAATATTTGTACAAATACATGTGGGGAATCATTTTTCTAGGATGTCAATAATTAATAATGTATCAGATGTCCAATTTCAAATTGCAAAGTTTGTATTTCAACCACTGATACTGGATGCATATCTTGTTTACCATCAATAGCTCAAACAGTTAGTGATTCGATGAATAATGTGTGCACCTCTACTACTTGTAGCCTGTATTTGTAATAATAGAGATAATGTTTGATTTAATGCTTGCCTGGTTATTATAAGAATATAGATTTCACATGTTCTATTTGTGATAATGCATGCAAACAATGTTAAGATACAGCTGCAGCTTGTACAGAATGCTACCCAAATATGTATTTGCAATATACTATTGGTTAATAAGTGAAAGGATCTTGCATACCTGAATGTCAGACAACATTTTATTAAAAACCTTCATTAACTCCAACTGTTTCAGGTGGTATCTGTGCTAGTTGTCATCCAACATGTAAGGATTGCACAGATGACTTAGAAACCTCTTGTATTTCCTGTTCAGCTGGAAGATTTTTACTAAATAAAAGATGTTTAACTAGTTGCGGAGAAAATGCAGGTTATGTAGCTAATACAGATTTAAATAGATGCGATCAATGTGCTGCAAATTGTACTTCATGTACATCAATTTCAGCATAGAGATGCACAAAATGTGCTATTACTCATTTCTTTTTGTAAAACTAATGTCTTGCTTAATGTCCATCTGGTTATTATGGAGATTCCAATAAGGTATGTTAAGCATGTAATTCTTCTTGTTTAACATGTGATGGCCCATAGGAAAATAATTGTTTATCATGTGGAGCATCTATTTTCTATTTAGCTTCGACTAAGAGATGCACAACATTGTGTCCTGATAAATTTTATGGAAAAACAGATACATTTATATGTGAAAGTTGTATAAATGGATGTCTCAAATGCATTAATCCATTCGATTGCTAATACTGTGATGAAAACTTCTTCTTAAATACATTAAATTCTATCAATAATTGTTTAGCAGTATGTCCTGATGGATATTTTGGAGCCGTTACTGCTAGAGCTTGTAGATAATGTGACCCTGGATGTAAAACTTGTAAGGGATCAACATAATCTGATTGTATCATATGTTCAGCTGGAAGATTCAATTATATGGGAGATTGTATTGCAACCTGTCCAGCAGGTACCTTTTTAGATACAGTAAATATGAGATGTGATACTTGTTCTTAAGGATGCTCTACTTGTACAGCTATAGGAATGGGCAATTGCACAACTTGTGAATTTGGATACTTGTTCTATAATAAAGGATGCTATATAACTTGTCCAACTGGATCTTATAAAACAGGTACAACATGTACATCTTGTATTTCAAATTGTTCTGTTTGCAATGATAGCATTTCTTGTTAAAGATGCAATGATTCGACATTCTACACTGGAATATTATGCACTACAAGTTGTTTAAGCAATTAATATGGAGATACCTTAACAAGAACATGTAAATAATGTGATCCTAGTTGTTTGACCTGTTCTGGAGCTAAAATAGATAATTGTCTTAGTTGTAATACAACATTCCTATTTTCAAATTCATGCAATTAATATTGTCCTGATGGTTATTATGCTGATACATCAACTAAGACTTGCAGAAATTGTATTTCCACCTGTGTCACTTGTTTAAATCCTACATCTTGTTCCTCATGCACCTAAGGCTCATTTTTAACTGGAAATCCACCTTTATGCTAAACTTCTTGTCCTGCTGGATTTTATGGAGATTCTGGAACTAGAGCATGTAGATCATGTTTTGCTGGTTGCAGGACATGCTTTGGTACAACAGCAGACAAATGTTAATCATGTTTAGCAAGTGCCAGTCCTAGATTGTTCTATTTTAATTATTCTTGTAATTAAACCTGTCCAGATGGAACATATCCTAATACTTCAAATAGTAATTGTGATTCCTGTCACCAATTTTGTGGTAAATGCATTGATGCCTCTGCAAAATGTACCTAATGTACAACTAACAGATTTATGAGTCCATTGAGTGTTGATGTTAACTCTCCATGTATAACAGTTTGTCCTTACTAATATTATGGAGATCAAATTACGAGAACTTGTTTATTGTGTGCAACTAATTGTAGAAGTTGTACAAGTTCCTCAGCTAATAGTTGTACAGCATGCATGAATACAAACATCAATGATTATCAGACTAATTACTATTTATCTTAGAACAGTTGTGTAACTTAATGTCCAAGTTAATTAGTGGTGAATTAAGATGGAAGTTCAACAGAATAATAATTATATGGTGATATTGTGTCAGATCCTCTCTCTTATAATTGTGTATCTAAATGTCCACCCTTAACTTACAGAAATAATTCAATTATGGTTTGTGAATAATGTCATATATCATGCAGAAGTTGTGAAGGAAAATTAAGCAATTAATGTTTAGCTTGCTTTCCTGGTTTTTACCTTTATTAAGGAACTTGCTCATCTGGATGTCCTTCAGGTACATACTTGTATTCTGTAACTTCATCTTGTATAACATGTAATTCAAAATGTAAGGAATGTGATGGACCAAATGCTACTGATTGTACTGAATGTTCGGCTCCTTTGGTTAAATAAGGAAGAGAATGTTTGGACAGTTGTATTGAAGGTTATGTAGTAGTTGATTAAGTCTGTGTTTCTTGTCATTACACTTGTGATTAATGTATCGGCAATGATATTTAAGAATGCATTTCTTGTTCTCTTGGATTATTCCTTCAAAAACTGTAAGAGAGTGACTCAAGTGGTAAATGTTTATAAAATTGTAATTAAAATTACTACCCTGATACAATCGATAATAAATGTAAGCTTTGTCATTCTACATGTATAACTTGTTAAGGCTCTGAGGAGAATGATTGCTTGAGTTGTAGTGGATCTTTAATGTTTATGGGAGGAATATGCAGTGATACTTGTATAGATGGATACTACTTGAATGTTAATTAATGTGCTTAATGTAATTTGTCATGCAAAACATGCAGTGGTTCCAGTTCAAACTAATGTTTGAGTTGCAGTGAATAGCTTTTCATGTTTAATTCCTAATGTTTGATCTCTTGCATTGAAGGATACTTCCAAAATGAAATTGAACACTCTTGTGACAAATGTTTGGAGAATTGCTTGACATGTACAAATGGCACAACTTGTAATGCTTGTGATACTTCTAAATTCTTTTTATTCGAAGATTATTGTTATGAATATTGTGCATCTGGATTTTACTTTGATACTACTCAAAAAATTTGTTAAAGTTGTAATTCTTTATGTGGTACATGCACTGGTCCAGAAAGCAATCAATGTTTGAGTTGTGACACTGATTACTTCTTAAAAGTTACAAAAAATTCTGATACTGGAATATATGATTGGACATGTGAACCACAATGTGGAGAGTTCTATTCACCTGATATCTAAAATTTTGTTTGTTTATTTGATACTTGTGATAGTACCTGTTCTACTTGTTTGAATGATTAACCTACCACTTGTAGATCTTGCAACAATTCGATATTGTCTAATTCAAGATGTTTGGATGGTTGTCAAGATGGTTATTATGTAGACAATAACTTATGTATCCAATGCAATAGATTATGTAAAACTTGTAAAGATAGTTCAACTGTTTGTCCATTATGTGTTGATGTAGCTTATAGAGTAGATGATTCATATTGTGTTAGTACATGTCCAGAGAAATACATTAAACATGCAACTCAACCTTTATGTATTGGATGTGTTCCAAATTGTTAAAATTGTGTATACGATGAAAAATTAGTTGGATCTACAAAATGTCTGAAATGTGAATCTAGCTTCTTCATTGACTAGACATATAATTCCAGTAAAGTTTTGATAAATGTACAATGTTATTAAACATGTCCAGATGGAAAATACAATAACTTAGATTCATATTAATGTACGAATTGTGATTGGACCTGTAAAACTTGTTCAGATGCAACAAGTTTGGATTGTATAAAATGTGGAACAGTTGTCCATCCTAAAACTGGTGTAACTTAAATTCGATATATGGAAGATGGCATTTGCAAAATCACATGTTAAGCTGGTTCTTATGCACATATTGATTCAATAAATGGTAATACTTGTTTAATTTGTAATTCTACTTGTAAAACTTGTTCTGGAATATTGGATACTAATTGCAGTAGTTGCTATTCAACTACTTATCTTGCTGCTAATGGAAAATGTGTCAAAGATTGTTCTATAGGATATTTTTCAAATGATTCCAATTAAAGATGTGAAAAGTGTTATTAAGGATGTTCTAAATGTGATGGTGTCAAATCTACTTAATGTTTAGCATGTGAAAATGGATATTATTTATATAAAGATACTTGCTAAACTGATTGTCCAGATGAATACTTTAAAGATGGTAATATTTGTTCAAATTGTGACAAATTCTGTTATAATTGTACTGGAAAAGAACCAGATCAATGTATATCTTGTCCAACTGATCTCTATTTCTATCCACAACAAAATACTTGTTATATTGAATGTCCTCTTAAATCATTCCTTAATCCATCAACCTTCTAATGTTAAGAATGTCATCCATCATGTCTAACATGTTCAAATGAAATTGAGGATAGTTGTTTATCATGCCCTTAAAAAGAAACTGATACTGAAATATAGACATATTTACTAAATGGAAAATGTATTTCAGATTGTGGAACTCATAAATTTGGAGATCCTGATTCTTTGACATGTGAAGAATGTTCTATTTAATGTATCAGCTGTTAAACTAAAAGTAATAATTGTACTGGAAGCTGTCCAGCTAATCGTCTAACTATCCCTTAATGTGATTGTCCATCTGGTTATTTAATAGATTCTCCTAATGCTGAATGTGAATAATGCTATTATAAATGTTCAACATGTAAAGAAGCCTTTATAAATTGTTTGAAATGTGCAGCTAATAGAAATCAAGATGCACCATTTTGTTCATGTCCTCCTGGTTACTTTGATGATGAAGAAAATAAGAATCCAATTTGTTAACCTTGCGCTTGGCAATGTTCAACTTGCTAAAGAAGAAGTGATATATGTATAACTTGTAAAGGAGATAGAGTTGGTTAAAGTTGTGTATGTCCAGCTGGAAAATATGAAGACTCTTCTGCTCAAAAAGAAATGTGTTCTACATGTGATCCTACTTGTTCAACTTGTGCAGTAAAAGCTAATTATTGTATTACTTGTAAAGGAAATAGATATTCAACAATATTACCAGATAATCCAATTTATAAATTATGTTTATGTTAAAATGGACTTTTTGAAGATGGTAAATCTACTAATTGTCCTTAATGTGATTTTAAATGTACAACCTGTACAAGTTCTAGTTCTAATTGTTTGAGTTGTAGAGGTGATAGAATACTTACTGAACAATGCACTTGTGAATCAGGATATTTTGATGATGATGTTAATGATAAGTGTTAGAAATGTGATTTATAATGTGTAACTTGCGATAAAAAAGGTTGTTTAACTTGTGCTGGTAATAGAGAAGGTCCAGATATTTTAAAGATTTGTAATTGCCCAGCTACAGGTATTGATAGAAGATAACATGGATACTCTGAATGTGGAACATGTGAGTATGGAGTGCCTTATGTCAAAATGAAGGATAGTTTAGATTCCATGACAATAAATCTGGGTGGAGTAATTGCAATCAAAGGAATTAATGATCCAACTATACCAAGTAGAGAAGTATGTCAGAAATTATTCAATGATGATGACTTTGCAAAATTAGGAAGTGGAAAACCTTTGTGTAATGTGGATCCTAATAATTAAAAATAGGTTATTGTAGTCTTTGGAAATAATGCCTAATTCCTAATAGGAAACACAATCACATTAAATTTGAAATCAGTTATAGGTAGAAAAGATTGTTAATCAATATTTTACACTAATTTCTTGGCTGCAAAAATTAATGGTCCAGATGTTCCTGCTGCTGCATATGTTAAATTCACAGGTCCACAATTTAGTAATTTATGCAGCAAGATTATATTCTTCCCAAGTTAAGTATTTAATGATGGTGGTAGAGGTTTAACAATGAAATCATGGTCAATAGTCTCTATTGAACCAGATAATTCTGGAGTAAGGGGAAGAATTTAAGTTTTATTTGATGCTGCAAATGCTGCCAAAAATAATAAAATTGAAATTCCACCTTTGATGTTATCAGAATATTCTAAGTATGTATTTAAATACACATTTACCAACTTTTTGAATACAGAATTCAGTTCTGATTACACAGTTTCAACTACAACTTATGAATCACCATTTGTTTCTATAGAGGAATTATCCCCACATGTTTATTACACCAATGCTAGAATCAAATTAGTGGGTACAATAATTCATCAAAGTTGTTTAACTGGAACTACAGAAATTATAGCCTCAACAATTAATTATGAATGGATATCAAATAAGGTCAGTAAGGGAGATGTTGAATCATACCTTTTATAAGATGTCACAACTCTTGCAGGTGTAAAGTCTCCTGATGTCTAATTTATTCAACTTGATATTCCTCCTTATTCAGGTAAAGGTGGTTACTCATATGAAGTAACTTTGATAGCTACTCTAACAACCAAACCAATTTCATCCAACTACACAGTTGATATTACTCTACTTAATTAAGGATTACAAGTAGAAATTGAAGGAGGAAATAGAATGAATGGATATGCTGTGCCTTTGAAGGTTAATGGATGGGCCAAGGATCCCAATATTAAAACAGATTAGAGTGTAGGAATTGAGTTGGTATGGAAATGTGTAAATCTAAATACTAATTTACCATGTGCAGATGTTTATGATGAAGAAATCCCACTTAATAGAACTAACTCTTAGTTTATAGCAGCAAAAAGATTAGTGCCTTATAATGCTTATAATTTCTATTTAAATGGAACTAAAGAAGAATTGTTTGAAGTAGCATAAGCAGTTATTGTAATTGTTGAATTGGACATTCCAGTTTTAGAACTCAAGAGACCAGAATATTTAACATCAAAAAGAGTTAATATGAATCAAGAAATCAGCATTAAATTCTTATATCCCACTAAGAATCCAGATAGTCTATATTATGGTGGTGCAATAGTATATGATTTCAATGTGGTAGCTACATTAAGATTTTTCTTCACATCAATAACTATAAAGTTCTGGGATAGTTTCAACGATTTAACTGATCTTGCTTAATTGGGATTCAGAGCATCAGTTTATAATCCTCAATTCTTTATGCCCTCAACAACTACATTACTAATTAACATCAATTTACCACCTAGAAGTTGTAAGATGAATGTTTCTCCAACTAGTGGTATTTCCTTTGATACTTAATTCACCTTAAAAGTTACTGATTGTGAAGATAGTGATTCCCCATTCACTTACAAGTTTACATTCTACTATTCTCCAACATAATATAATAATGATGTTTTAAAGGCTGCTTCATTGAATCAGATACTTTTGTTAGATTATTCAATTGATAATGAAATTTCAACTATATTACCTAATCCATTGAGTGATTCAGCTGTTACTCAACCCTTCCTAATTTTAATGGCATCAATTTCAGATTCTTTGGGAGCATTAACAAATTTAACATCTTCAGTTGTAGTAGGATTGAATCAAGTTGATCTAAGACATAGATTATAAGTTGCTGAATATTTGAAGAAGAGATAATAATAAGAAGATAAATTCTATCCATTACCTTATTTCTTTAGATCAAGATAATTAGCAGAAATTACAGATGCAACAGATAAATTTATAAGACTTTATTAAAATAGAACAACTTTATCAATACCAGAATAAATAAATTTATTAAATCTACTTGCTATTGGTGTCAAAGATCTTAGTATTGATAATCCATCTGCTGATTAAGATGCTAATGAAACTGCTATCATCTAAGAAGAATAGACTAAATTGATTACACTCAAAAAAAGTATTTTAGCATCCCTTAAAGAATTACAATCTCAAGATGTTAGTGTTGCTACTAAGAGTGCTTTAACTAAATCAATTGAAGAATTAATGAATGATGAAGATATCTAATTGAATATGAGTTCTGAAAACATGGATGCTGAATTAGATAAAGCAGATAGTATTGTTTCTAGTAGTACAAGTGGAGTTAGTGAACTTTAAGGAGATATTGAAAGTGGAAATGTAGATTTCAAATCATTCAGAATAAAAGAGAATCTTTAAAATGATATCATGAGAACTGCTGGTTTATTAAATGGACTCTTGGCAGCTGGATAGAATCAAATGGATTCTATTGATTCAACAAGTACTACTACATCAACTAATTCAACTGATAGTAATAATTCTACTAATGAAACAGATGCTGCTTGGTAAAAAATGAAGGATAATAATGCTAAATTATTTAAAGTTTAAGAATCAGTTAAATTTGGTTTAACATAGACTGCTGATCCTAATGCACCTCCTAAAGTATTTTCAGGTGGATCATTCTCTATGAAATCCTCTATTGCTACTCCTTCTAAGATGGCTGAATATTTGGCAGGTTCAGATCCAACCAAATCTAAAAAAGACATCAAAATTACAGATGATGATGAATCTACTTAATCAGATGAAACTAATATTTAAACTGTTACTTACAATTAAGCTGAATTTGCTGATAATCCTTATGCAACTGATGATTCATTCCCAAGTAGATCTGTACCAGCATCTGTCTAAAATATTGAACCAAAATTACCAAATGGATCAGTCATTGTTCCAAAACAACCAATACCTATGTCTTTTGGAGTTACTGCAGCCAAATAAGCAGCTAGATTAAGAAGACTCAGAAGATTATATGGCAGAAGAAATATGCAATATTATTAAGATCTATATGAATTAGATGAAGAACCAGAATCTTAAGCCATATTTTGTATTGGAAAAGGTTCAGATGGTGGTTGGAGTGCAGGAGGTGGAAATTGTAAGACTGTTAAATAAGTTGATGCAACAGGAGCTCTTACGGTTACTTGTTAATGTGAAGAATTATCTCCTACTTCTGTTGGTGATGCTATTGCTGATGCTCTAGCATTTGATAAATTTGCTAAGGCATTTTCTATGGAAGCTTTATTAGCCTTACTTAATTTCCCATTCTACAAATCAGTTATTGTTTATGCTTTAGCCTTTATGACTACTGCTTTAGTATTTTCAGTTAAATATGGATTCAAAAAGGATAGAGAAGATGTTGAAAAGAAATTATTGGCTCCTCATTTTGTAGAATCAGAATATATTAGAATCAAGGCTGAAGAAAACTAGGCTTAAAGATCAGAAAAACAAAAATTGAAAATGTAAAAGCAAAAAGAAATTGAATAAAAACTTCAAGAAGAATATGAAGAATAATTAAGATTATAATAAGAGTAACAAAAAGAAAATGAAGAATAATAAAATAATCCTGATAGACCAATCAATACTAGTCTATAGTTCCCATTATAAGAAGAAGCTCCTGTAGACATATTTATGGTCTAACCTGATATAGAACCAGAAGAATTAATGAAAATAAGATAAATGAATGAAATCAAAGAAGAATAAAATGCCAATGCTCCACTTAAAAGTGAACCAACCTATAAATCTGATTCTGATGATTCTGATAGACCACCAAACTAAGTAGTTTATGATGAAGAAGATAGTGAAAATAGTGATAACATGGAAAGTCTTTATGAAGTTCCTGAGAATATTTTAGACTAAAAATCTGGAGAAAAGTAAAAGGAACCTGAAATAGCTAAGTACTTCAAATAATTAGAACCTGAATTTTCTAAATCTTCTATGTCTGTTGCAACTATAAAACAAAAGAGTGTCTCCAATTAATAATAATAATAATAATCATAACAATAAAAATCATAATCATAATAATAATCTTAGATTTTATAAGATGAATAATAATAATAACTTAAATCAGAAAGTATAGCTGATTTAGAATAATTCAATTAAGAATTAGAAAAACAATTCCAATAATAAGGTTAATAATAATAATAGTAATAAAAATATGGTGAATAACAACTTTAATATGATATGGGTGATAGCTAACAATATGAACTTCATCCAGAATTGAAAGAATCCCCTATCATGAATAAAAGAGATAATGTTACGCCACCCTTCTGTCAAGAATTATAATCAAATGATTTACCTCATCTTTAAGATGACGATGGTTGCGCACTTAGTGCAATTAAAGTTACAGATATCAATCAACCTGTTCCAAATATTGAAGAGGATTCATTTGAAAAAGATGTTAAAGAAGCTGGCTAATCTGAAATCATAGAACCTAAATAAAAGAAAAAGTCATCAACAAGAAAGAGAAAGAGAAATAAAAACAAAGTAAATGAGAAAGATAAAGATAAAGCAATAGATGCTTTAGATATTTCTAATGAAGAGGATAATCTTAAAGAAGAGCCAGAACCAACTTATGAAATTAAAGAACAATTAGTTCAACAATGGCATAGGGATTATAAACGAAAGAAATTCTTAGAAAGTGGATGTTAACTTAAGTTTTCCCTTGCAAATGTTCTATTGTTTATGGCTCTATTCCATAAATTATTATGCATCTTTTTAGTATTTGAAAGAAGATTACCTCGTCCCATCAGATTTTGTGTTTTATACATGACAATTCTAAACACTTGCTATATTAATATATTCTTCTAAGTGCCTTTGGAACCCTTACAATCAATTATATTTAGTGTATTTTCAGCCATATTATCCAACTTTGAAATGTTTGTAATTTTGTTCTTAATGCCACACAAAGTGTTTGTTGTTAGACAAATAGGATGGGGAATATTCATAGCTTTAACTACATTATTAATTTACTTCATCCTTATTGCTATGGCACTTGAAGCAGCAGATTCTGGTGGAGATATAACAAGATCAAATATGTGGGGTCTTAATTTCATTATTGGATTCATGAACACTCATTGTGTTTCAGATCCCATTAAACTATTAATTGTTTTCAAGGCAGTGCAATTGAGTTTATCAGGTGCAACTGGACTCTTGTAAACAATTTTAGTGAAAATATTTGTTAATCCAGCAACGAATATTTTCTTTGAAATGATAGAAGTATGAGAAATTATAACATATTCAATAAAATATAAAATTTAATATTAATAATATAATTTATATAATATATTTATACTATCTTTTTTGATATATTTAACTTAAATAATTATATTCATATAAACTAATATGTATTATCTATTAAGTATTTATATAAATATATATATCTAAAATTGAATTGATTATCATAAATATATCATTTATTAATAATTGAGTTAATTTAATATATTTAATAATGTTAATTATACATCTTGAATACATTAATATTATTATATTAAAAGATTTATATAATTAATTAAATAAATAGTTATGAGATGATGAAAATAAAGTAAATTTAAATACATTATCAACTATATTGATTTATGTATTTAAATTTACTTAAAGCATTTATTAATAATATTAATTTCTTTTAAAGGATTTTTTCAGAAAATAATTATATAAATACATTTTAATTAAATTTATCGATGGGGTAATAAATAAAATTAAGAATATAATGATCAAATATATTAATAATCAACTATATATAAGTATCAAAATTTAAATTTATACCAAATCATTATGCAAAATTTTAAAGGTAATCTTCCAAAAAAGGAGAGAAGTGTAATTGATTATAATAACAGAAAAGTTATAATATGGATCAAATATATATATATCATAGTTAATCAATATTATGTACTACTTTCTTTTACATGTATGCGACTCCATACTTAGTAGATGTAAACATCTTGCCAATATTTTCATTATATTATTGTATTGTGGAGTGTAGATTTTTTTTGTGTTATGGCTGTTAGTGATGCATATCAGCAGATTTATGATATGTTTAATTATGAGGAATATCACTATTGCTAATGATTTATTTGATTGCTTATCGACAATGCTCAATATCTTGGGGCTCATTGTGCTTAGGAATAATATTTTTGGAATGGAGAGACTTGTTCTTTGATTATTAATTCATAAATTATTTTTCAACTATTCAATAAGTCCAATATTTCGTTTATATAATGCCATCATGTCAATCATAAATTAATTTAGATACACTGCCTCTATTTTTAATTCTTTGCCACACAAAAAACAATCATTAGAATATCCTTTTCTACATCCTTTACAATAAGAATGAGCACATGGAATTAATGTCACTGGATCCTTTAATTCTTTTCCACAGTATTTACATTCTAAATGTCTTTTTAAATCTAAACATAAACTTTAAATTTCATTAACAAAAACAAGATAATTAGCTGGTTGGGTTGCTTGTTTTTCTTTAAGAATCAATTTCTCAGACAATTAATTAATCTTTGATTTTAATTCTTTTATAATCTACTCTTATTAATTTGAGAGATATTATTAATAAACAGCTTCATCATTCTATTGATATCTTTTGATATTGATTTTAAGATCATCAACTTAATTTTTAAGGTCATTATTGAGATTCTTTAATAAAGTATTCTCATTTATCAATTACTAAACTAGAGATTCTTATTTAAAATGCTCAATTTTAAGGTTTTCATAATCAGTTTTTAATTTATCATAATCCTTTTAGTTTAATTGCATATCTCTTTCTATCATTTATGATTACATTGCAGATCTTAAAATAGGGAGACTATTTCTATTGTTTGTTCTGGATGGAAGATAAGGTTTCTTTTGATTTATGAGAGGGATATTTGGAGATGATTATTATTATTTAAGTTATTTGACATTCACATTAAGATTAAATGATTATTATATATTGATCGATGGAGTAGGTTTTTCAATAATGTCTTCGTAATTGATGTAGGATTTATGTTTCTTCATAATTATTTTTAACAGTTAATTTTTTTAAAATGACCGAAGAAATCGAGTGTCACATAATGTAGAAGTATGATGTATTACAGAAAATGGGAAAAGGAGCATATGGTGTAGTCTGGAAAGCCATAGATCGAAAAACTAAATAAATTGTAGCACTTAAAAAAGTATTTGATGCATTTCATAATGCCACTGATGCGTAACGCACATTTCGAGAAGTCATGTTTTTACAAGAGATGCTACATGATAATGTTATTCGAATGACTAATATTCATAGAGCTGATAATAACAAAGATCTGTATATAGTTTTCGATTTCATGGAAACAGACCTCCATGCTGTAATAAGAGGTGGAATCCTTGAAGAAATACACTAAAGGTAAATTCTTAAACTTTTATTTCAGATATATAATCTATTAAATACTCAAAGCATTAAAATACATTCATTCTGCTGAAATCATTCATAGAGATCTTAAACCATCAAATGTATTATTAGATGCAGAATGTAATGTCAAAGTGGCAGATTTTGGTTTAGCTAGAAGTCTTTTAAATCAAATTGATGAAACCTCCATTCTGACTGAATATGTAGCAACAAGATGGTATAGAGCTCCTGAAATTCTACTTGGATCCACTTAATATACTAAAGCTGTTGATATGTGGTCAGTTGGTTGCATCTTAGGAGAAATGATTAATGGAAAACCTATATTCCCTGGTAGTTCAACACTTAATCAAATTGAAAGAGTTATTGAAGTTATAGGTAGACCAACTACTTCAGAATTAGAAAGTGTTTAAGCACCTTTGGCCTCTCAAATTGTTAATAATATTCCTAAAGGTTAAAGAATTGGATTTACAAATTATTTTCCAAAAGCTACTCCTCAAGCCTTAGATTTGATTCGTAGATTACTTTCATTCAATCCTTCTCAAAGGATTTCTGTTGAAGAAGCCTTAAGACATCCTTATGTTGGAGCCTTCCATCATGATAATTAAGAGAGTACTACAAATCCAATTATTATCTCTATGGATGATAATAAGAAATTTAGTATTAAAGAATATAGAGAGGCATTATATTTAGAAATTAGTAAGAAATATGATACAAAATATGAGAATAAATTTGAGAATTAATTTAAAAGCATTGATCAAAATTAATAAGAAAGAAAAAGAACTTAAAGTTTTTAACATGCATCTAAAAAACCTAATGCTCCTTCTAATTCTACTCTTCCTAGTGAATAACCAATAATTAAATAATAAGATACTAATATTTAACATGTTTCATAAAATTATCTTAAAGAATACTTATCAAATTGTAATAAAGATTATTTAGGATAATAATAATAATAGAATGTTAATATGAGTAAAGAATTTATTAGTGGATAATTATGTAAAGAAATGAATAAAGAAAATTAAAAATCTAAAAATGCTGTAGATATATCAATTAATAAAATGGAACGTGATAATTCAATTTCTAAAAAATAAATTATGTCTCCATGGACATAACCCAATTAAAAACCTTAAATCACAACTTAATAATAAAGACCTCCTTCTGTTAGTGTTTATGCTACTTTAAATTAGGTTTCTTAAAATCAATTAAAATCATAAATACCCTAATAATAATAGAATAATAATAATGCTGTTGTAGCATAAAAGAGAATTAGTTCAAAAATGCCTACTAGTGGTACAAGTACATCTTTTTATATTCCTTCTGATAAAAACAATTCTAGTTTTAATAATGGTAAGAAAATCTCAAAAGACAATAGTTTCTTAGGGGATCATAATGTTTCTACATAATCTAATATACCTTAACCATAATAATAAATGCATTAAAAAAGTATATATAATATATATTGAATTTTAGCTATGAGTATGAATTATTAGACTTATTTAATGCAAAAGGGCATATCAGATCAAAGAAGTAAATAAACTTTAGTTAATCATCAAAGAACATAGTCATAATTAGGTGCAAATAATAGTGTATTAATCAATCGATGTAAGGAATTCCTTCAGAACATGTAAGCTATAAAAAAATGAATTAATATTTGAAATACATCATCATCATTTTTTTTTAATTCATATTAAAATTTAAAATCAATAATTAGTATTAATATAATTAATTATTAACTAAAATCATCCATGTATAAAGAAACCGAATTATCAATTCATTAAATTGAACATGCACATCTACATTTAATATTTTATTCTTTCTTTTCAATATACTTCTATACCAAATAAATATCACATAAATTCCTTCCTTCTATTGCATCTCGAAAAACTATTCTTTTTCCTTTAACACCCTTTATTATAGGATGATTAAATTTATCTAATCTTAAACGATTTCTTCTTATTAATTTTTTATCTTTATCTAATATACTTATATCAGTTTAATCCTATGTGTCTAATCGTTCATTCATTATTTAAATAATATAATATATTAATATATTTATAACTTCTATATATCTCTATAATTATTTGTTAACTATAATGTTTGAATTCATAATTACTAAATAAAAATATATATTTTATTGAAATTTCACATTTATTTAATATAGATGTTTGTATAAACACAAAAACATTTAATTGCTTGAAAACAATTAAAATAATAATAAGTTATTATATATTCATGACAATAAGATTTATCATTCATTTATATTTAATTAAACAAGCCAATTCAAATGGGTTGTATTTAGTAAAAGTAAAAACAAAGATAAGATGTATTATCTGCTGAGTCTATTGATAAAGATAGAAAATTAAATAGAAACAATTCTCAGTAATAAATTTATCTAAATTAGAAAAACTACTCATTAAGAAAATAAAAAGGATGTATTCTAAATAAAACTTAATCCTATTGTTTAAAGAAGACTATCTCCAGATCATAGAAAACAATCAGATAGTTGATTATTTATTTATTATCATCTCAAGATACCATTGATTTTTCTTATCTACTCAATAGAAATCCTTTTTATTTCAAGAAAATAAGTTGAATTTCAAATTCAGCTTTATTTTTAAATTATACTTGAGAAATCATAGTCAAAAATAAAATATAAATAACTATTTAACAAAATATCTACAAACTAACTAAAAATATTATACTAATATATAAAGTATTATTAATCAAATATAAACTCTATTATAATCGATACTTTGAATCATTATAATTATCTCATTATCTCAGTAAATTCAGTATAATTTACCTATAAAATATCACTTTATATATTACCTTTTGTTAACCTTTAATATCCTCTAAAGTCTAAATAAACAATTCTTCATCAATCTCAATATGTTTCTTGACACTATTACAAGTAATATACCCTCTTTAATTCTATAAATATTTAAAACAAGTTTCTAAATATGTTTATGATAATAAATCTTCAAGATTTAATGCTGCTGATATAAATTCCTTTATATCTAATGCTTCTTTCATTGTTACATCTAATTTCTAAAATAATTGCTCAATATCAATATTTATACTCTCATATTCAACTATAGATTTATATAATCGAATAATATCTTCTTTCTTCAATAATCCATCTTAATCAAGGTCTGTATCATTAAATATCTTCTCTAATATACATTCTTCTTCTTAATTGAATTTATTCAGCATAAAAGCCAGAATTACAACATGAAAATAATTCCTTTGTTTACATTTTGATAACAAATACAAAGGTTTTATTAAAAAATCAGAATAATTATTTCTTATATCATTTTTTTATAATTATTTTTTAAGTTCCTCTATTGTAATTCTCTCACTTATTTTCTTCTCTAACATCTTCTTCAATATTTATTTTAAAGAAGGTGAAGTTCCTTCATTAAAATATAATAGGATTAAGGCATTTTCATTATTTTCTTATTATTTATTAATTTTTATTTAATATGGCATTAATCCAGTTAATAATTAATAAGCAATCATTCCTAAAGCATAAATATCTTCAGCATAATCTTCTTATGATGGTTCTATTTTAACTTACGATTTCCCTTAAAATAAACAGGTTGCATCAATTAACTTACAAAATAGACTATTTAAATCATTTAATAAATGGAAACTATCTAAAGACAATTTACCATGAACCATTTTTTTAGAATGTAAATAAGAAATAGCCGTTACCATTTAATTTAATAAGATAGTCACTTAATTATCCTTTAATTTTCCTTTTAATGAATTTAAACTTCCACCACTACAATAGTCAGATAACAGATAATATTTATCTGTGTCTTCATAAATATTAGTAATTGGACAGATATATTCATTATACTAATATTATTTATTTAAATACCAATCTGTTTTTCTAGATTTTGAGTATAAAATTCTGAGTAGAAGTATCAGATTTATTAATAGTCTATACCCTTTTTTTAATTCCACTAATATTATGTTAGACTATCCTAATTTGTTTATCATCTAATTTTTCTAAAAAAGAATCAGACCTACCTCCTAATAAAGTATAGACTCTAAATAGTCCAGATCTTATTTAGATTGGTTATTTCTATTAATCAAGAATTTTTTTTGTAGAACGAATTGAAATAACTGACTCATTTACTGTGTCAGATAAAAAAGTTTTAGCAAGAATAGGAGTTAAAGTTTAAGACTTTTATTATTTTCTATCAATTCTAGTTTTTTCATCAGGTCCTTAAGTAGATACAACTACTTCTTATTATTTTTTAACTCTCTTTTTTGTGTTACAATTGCCCATAACGAATTAATAATATTTATTTATATATTATCTGATAATATAAGTTTTGCGTTATTTTATAAGTCTTTATTTGTAAAATATAATTCAAGTACAAAATTTCTTACATTTAATAAAATGAAATAAAGTTTTATTTGCATAAAAGTAATAAAATATTAGCTAATTGTACAAAAAAACAAAACGATTTCATATATATTTATATATCATATAAAATTAAAATGNCAAAGGTTTTATTAAAAAATCAGAATAATTATTTCTTATATCATTTTTTTATAATTATTTTTTAAGTTCCTCTATTGTAATTCTCTCACTTATTTTCTTCTCTAACATCTTCTTCAATATTTATTTTAAAGAAGGTGAAGTTCCTTCATTAAAATATAATAGGATTAAGGCATTTTCATTATTTTCTTATTATTTATTAATTTTTATTTAATATGGCATTAATCCAGTTAATAATTAATAAGCAATCATTCCTAAAGCATAAATATCTTCAGCATAATCTTCTTATGATGGTTCTATTTTAACTTACGATTTCCCTTAAAATAAACAGGTTGCATCAATTAACTTACAAAATAGACTATTTAAATCATTTAATAAATGGAAACTATCTAAAGACAATTTACCATGAACCATTTTTTTAGAATGTAAATAAGAAATAGCCGTTACCATTTAATTTAATAAGATAGTCACTTAATTATCCTTTAATTTTCCTTTTAATGAATTTAAACTTCCACCACTACAATAGTCAGATAACAGATAATATTTATCTGTGTCTTCATAAATATTAGTAATTGGACAGATATATTCATTATACTAATATTATTTATTTAAATACCAATCTGTTTTTCTAGATTTTGAGTATAAAATTCTGAGTAGAAGTATCAGATTTATTAATAGTCTATACCCTTTTTTTAATTCCACTAATATTATGTTAGACTATCCTAATTTGTTTATCATCTAATTTTTCTAAAAAAGAATCAGACCTACCTCCTAATAAAGTATAGACTCTAAATAGTCCAGATCTTATTTAGATTGGTTATTTCTATTAATCAAGAATTTTTTTTGTAGAACGAATTGAAATAACTGACTCATTTACTGTGTCAGATAAAAAAGTTTTAGCAAGAATAGGAGTTAAAGTTTAAGACTTTTATTATTTTCTATCAATTCTAGTTTTTTCATCAGGTCCTTAAGTAGATACAACTACTTCTTATTATTTTTTAACTCTCTTTTTTGTGTTACAATTGCCCATAACGAATTAATAATATTTATTTATATATTATCTGATAATATAAGTTTTGCGTTATTTTATAAGTCTTTATTTGTAAAATATAATTCAAGTACAAAATTTCTTACATTTAATAAAATGAAATAAAGTTTTATTTGCATAAAAGTAATAAAATATTAGCTAATTGTACAAAAAAACAAAACGATTTCATATATATTTATATATCATATAAAATTAAAATGTCAAAACACTTACTGATGATAATCTTTTAATAATGTTTTAATTATTTCCTATTAAGTTGAAATTTAGAATGTATAAATAAATAGTGCAAGAAATGAATAATAATATGAATACAATATCTATATAAAATATCAAATTAAATGTTACACATATTTAATAATAATCATTCATCTAATTAACAAATGGCGACTTCATAACATAATTCATAATTCTTCATCATTTTCTCTTTATGTTTAATCCATACTAAGATATCATAGAATTTATGTACTTCTATATTCCTCTTTAGTTTTTGAACATTATATTAATGAAATCAAAGCAAGCAAAATTTCTGCAATTACAAAAAGTATAAGTACTACCAAAAATTACATTGACATTAATGAACCAATATCATCAGTATTACCTCCAAATATCAGATTACAAGTATCTTTTATTGCTGTATAATTTAAAACAATTAATAAGGATATAATTCCTCTACAAAGTACACACACTGTAGACATCATCATAAAATAAGTCATAATTTTACCAGATTTCTATATTATAGAATATATTTGATTACTTATGATACACTAAAGAAACCTAATAAACAAGTAAATATTCTCAATAGATGAACTACAATCAAAGCATTTAATAAATTCATTAAAGTGAAGTCCTGATCATTTAAAGGTACTCTAGTATCTTCATAAAATATTAATGATTTCTATGCTTCAATATTAATAGGACCAATCAGATTATAAATAGTTAACACCTAATTACTTTATGCATTCAATTACTAAATTGACTGTATTAACATTTAAAAATATGTATTATCTTCTCTCAAACCTAAACTCACCTTTGATAAGTCTAGTCATGACTTTTTCATTTGGAATTTTAGATTCTATTTCTTCATTCTAAATTAAAGGTTCTTCCATATATATAAAATAATAAATCAAAAATTAGTATTAAATACTTATATCACTCAAACAAGTTCCATCATGGTTTTGGAAAATACTTTAAAAGTGATTCTCTTTGATTTGGTAATTGAAGCAAACATTTCATCAGCTTATTTTTTATCAACCTAGAAACATTGTATAAATCTTTTCTTATGTATTGATCCTTTACCATTAGATAATAATTTAAATATAGATTTTAGATTAGGAGTAGTTATCAAAGCTTATCTATCAACAATACATCTAATGAATTCATCACAATCAATTGTACCATTATGATCTGTATCAATTGCTTAAAATATTAAATCTACATGTTTTTATGCTTATTCTTTAGATCTTAATTATTAAAATAAAAGTTCACAAATTTCAGCTTTATTTAATTTAGCATCTCCATTTTAATCATATTTGTTGAACATTTAATAAATTTCATTTTATTAGTTTTAACAAAATTAACTAACCAAAAATTATAAAAACAATGATTATATAACATTGGCTGGTTTAATATTAGTTAAAGCATTTACAGATTATTGACTAATTTATTTTGTTTAAGAAACTAATTTTCTATACATAGGTGATTTAATTATTGAATTAAGATCAGATCTTATTGATGGATTAAATTAAAGTAATTTATTTAATAATTCTTTTGATCTTGATGAGATTTTATCAAATTATAATTCAGTATATTATATTATACCTTTTCGTATTTCTAATTTTAATTTGTTTGATTAAGTAGATGAATATGGTAAATTGCCTGTTAAAAGTTTATAAAATATCATTCCTATAGACCAAACATCTCTAGCTATTGAATAATCTTAATCATTATCAATTATTTCTGGAGCCAAAAATTATAATTGTTCAAACGTAATCTAAGGTTTTATATAAATTGGTTTTGTATCAGTGAGTTTAATAAAATAGTTTTCTGATTCATCAGTTCTTGAAAAACTATTGTATGTTAAATGACCATGATTGAATCCTTTCATATGTATATAATTCAATGATTCTATCATCTGAACCAAAACTTTCAATGCTATATGCTCATTTATGCCCTGACCTTGTTTGATAGATAAGGTACTTAATCTTCCTCCACTACAATAATCATGTATTATATGAATTGTTTCATCGTCTTAATACATCTCATGTGTTTAAGCAATGTTAGGATGTGACTAATATTCTTTATATTAAAAATACTAAAGGATTTGCAATAATATTATCTATATATTGTTTGGTTTATTTATCATCTAATCTAAGTGTCTCCATTACTCTAATTCTTCCAGTCAAATTGTTCTATATAATCTAAATATTTTCATTTGATGTCTTGCTTTAGCCTTAAACTAAATTATCCTTATTGCTATTTGAAATAATGGAATAAACTTTAGACAATTTACAAGTTTGAATAAGAATGAAATTATGAATGTTAAGAGATTAATCAGTTTACAAAAACTTTTCTTTCTTTTTTTTCTCTTGAACAGATTCTTAAGTTTAAATTGATTGAGTTTTTGAATGATGAGCCTATAAAGTTTTTTACATCTGTTTTTTTTATTAATTTTCTTGGTTTGCCTTTTTCAGTTTCTAAGTACAAGACCCCATTCTTGATTTTAATAATTTATTGAAAGCAAATATGATAATAATAGAATGATTATGAAATTATTATTCATACAATAAGTTTATATAAGAAACTCTTACTATCTATTCATTTCTATCAAAATAAGCTTGGTTAATTTATAATAATTATTTTTATATTATATTTTTCTGTAAAAATGATGATCAATACATAAGATGATAAATAAATTACTATTCCTGTTCCAATTTTATAGAAGTTTAGTAAAACTAATTCTCAAATTTAAGGTAATAACTAAATTCATTATCTTAGAAAACTCTAGAAACAAGACTATTTTGAATTTAAAAGTAGAAAGTGTAATTGTTAATAAAGTCATTGAATTTCTCTAAAAATTATTATACTCTGACATTTCTGTAATCCCAAAACCTGTTCCTAATGGAAAAATTGAGACTTATTTGAATGAGACAGAATGCAATTTCTTAAGATCAATTACACCTATTGAAAGACAATTCATATTAAAATTTGCAGATGATTTAGGCTTTGAACAATTATCTAATTTAATGTTAGCATCATTTGCTTGTGAATTTGTAGGCTGCACAACATAAGAGTTTTTGAAAAAATTAAATATTATTAATGTAGAATATACACCGGAATTAGAAAAAGATATATAAAAATAATACGATACAATAATCAAAAGAAATTGAAAGAATTATTAATGTTATTTAAAAATAATAGTTATATTATTATTATTTTATCCTATCATGTCTTCTAATAATATTGAAATAAAATCAAATAAATACTCTTTATATTTATAGTTTTCATTTCTCTATAGAGAATAAATAGTGTTTAAAATTGATCATAATTTTAAATACTAATTTTTTTTATATCCTAATCATAAGATATCATATTAATTTATATCTAATTATTTACTTAAAATAAACCTAATATTAAAAATCAATTATTTTTACTATAAGAGTAATTATATTACAAAATGATCCAAATTGGAGAAATATAGATAAAAAAATGATAGGAATATGCATTAGAAATATTTAGAAATTAATAAAATTCTTAATAAATAATAAATCTAATTTGGATTATAATAAAAATTTTCATTTTATTAGAATATCTTAAATCAATAAGAAGATGTTAAATATTTGCTACTTTATATTATTAAATAATATTTATAATTATTTAAATTATTGATGTATTTATTTATTCATTTTAGAATTACATAGATAACTCCACATAATCCAATTAAGATGAATATTAGAACCATATCCAAACAAAACTTATTTGGTTGTCTATACTTTTCAACAATCTTCTTCAACTAACTATTCTATTTGTATAATTCTTCATTAGTTTTATCTACTTAAACAGTCAATTTGTCTATTTAATTTGTAGTATGATCAATTTTCTATTTAAATAATATCAAAATAATACTTGACCAATTTTCTAAGCATTTTCTTTCCATTGTTAAGTACCATCAATAAGAACATCAAGTTATTTATCCATAATTTCATCATTTTGTTTCCATCTCTACATAGCATCTTTTTCCTCTTAAGTCATTTATTATGATGGTGGTGGCTTTCTACCATCTTGATCCATCAATTTCATCTTTAAAGCACTCACTGTTTCTACACTATTGTTAGTTTATTATAAATCAATGACTGCATTTGGATCTAATAATTGTTGTAAATCATAAAGTTATTATCTATAGTTTGAATAGATCTTTTGTTTGGCTTGTATATTTTATTCAGGGTATTTCTTATAATTTATGAATTATTAATACCTTTTTATCTTTAGATTATTTTCTCAAAGCATCATTCAACTTATCTAACAAACTTTCAATATCAGTGATTAAGTCTTTTATTTCTACGTCTATTTTTATTGTCTCAACATTCCTTTAAACATTAGCATATTTTTATTTTTATTCAATTTTCGATCTCAACTAAAACAACAATGTATGGATTGAATCTTTTAAACTAGTAAAATCATCTCCAGCCTTTTTTTCTATAAAGAAATATAAATATATTATACAAGCTGCTGCTGTTCCTCCTAATTCTTTATCAATACTCATTAGTTTATCTAAATAAAATTGAACATGTAATGATGCTGCCATTATCAAATTTAGTTATAAATTATAATTATAGAAATCTTATAATTTTGAATAAAAATGTTCCATAATTTACACCTAAAAGAAGAAATGATTTCAATATTGAAAAGAATGTAATTAAATTTAACATCTCATATATTCAAAAAAATTATCAACCCTTTATAAATGAGATTATAATTTAATTGAATATATTTTGAATTCTTTTTTTTGAGTTCCAACTTAAAAGAATAGATTTTCAACAATTTCATCATATGTATATAATTATACTATTATATTAAAAGAGAATTGAATCCAACATGTAATCTTCTAATACTAATTTTTTATATCTTTTAATTCTCCATTTCTAAATAGACATAAAAGGAAGTTAATTCAATCTGAAATTCTGATAGACTTTATCTATTATTTGATTTATTTTTATTAATAATTTTAACGAATAGTATGAAATCAATCATTTCTAGTACATCATAATTGCAGAGCTTTTTGTAAATCTGAATAATCTATCACTCCTCTAAGAGTACCTTATAAGTATAATTAAATATTTACTATTTAGAGGTGGTTCTCAATTAAATTGTCTATCCAAAAAATCCAATAATTGTGGGAATTTAATAGAATCTGTTTTAATTGAGTATAAATAATTATGCTCATGGATTATTAGTGAAATCACTTAAAAATTAGATTAAAATCAAATAATATCGAAAATAAACACATAATTGTAATAATTTGAAAGATTTCTTTCTAAAAAATTGGATAGCTATACACAAGAATTATCTATTCTAAAAATGATTCATTCAGAAAATTAAATCACTATCAATTAATTGAATATTACAAAAGAAGATCTAAAAGTAAAATGAAAATAAGTCTCAAATAATATTAGTGATTAGTTTTCTACATATACATCACTTAAAAAGAAATAAAATTATTCTATTGAATTAATAACCAAATAACCATTAAGAAATATTAGTTATTCATTATAGGAATCTAATCATGATAAAGAAAACATAGATATCTAATTAAAAAAGAAAGTCTCCCTTTAACAAAAATTTAAAATTTGATTCTATTAAAATTGAATGATTGTTAATAACAATTTATTGTTTATTCTAATTCATAATTATTTAATAAATATTACAAATCTATTAAATATATATATATATGTAAAATAATTAATTGATTTTATACATTTATATATATCAATTAAATGTCTTCCTCACATCTTCAACTTCTTTAAGAAAGATATTCAATGATTTCTCCCAATTACCAAATTTCTTATTAATAATGTCAATTTTATCCATTGTCAAAACTCTTGGAACAACATAAGAAATTGTGATCGTTTATTTTACCTATCATTGTTTATCAATAATATTACTTAATTAATTCTTCCTTTAACCAATCCTTTACTGATTGTTCTCATCACTAATCTTTCAATGTCATTTAAGGGTAACTCTGAAACTTAAGCTAATTCTTCAAAAGTACAAACCCTATTATTTTTAGGCAAAGAAAATGCTAATTCAAGAAATGCCATTATTCTAATTTTTTCATTTAGAACTTGAAAATTTGGAAAACATCCTTTTCTTTCTTCATTCCATTAGAAGCTATTCAATTCTCTAACACTTCCTCTATTAAAAATATCTAACAATTAATAAACCCAATTATATTAAGCACTTTCTTTTAAACTAACTAAAACTGGTTATTGTAATAATTCACTGAAATTATAGATATTTGGTGAAATCAAAACTGCAAGTGCCATCTCATAGGAGAGTTGTACCTTTTATTCTTATAACATATCCTAATCATTTGTATATGCAAGATATTATAGAGCATTAACATAGAATTCTTCATAGATATTCTTAATTTTATAGAAATTATATGCCAAATAGTATAGCATTGAATATACAAGTGGATCAACCTCTTATAATTTTTCACTCTTTTGTTTGTATTATTTTAATAATTCATCAACTTCTTATAATTATCCCTATTATAATTTAAAGAAGGCAATTAAAATATCAATGACTAATTGAGGTTATTCATCCAATTTAAATTATTTAAGGAAATCTATTCTGCTTTGAAAATCTCCATACTATTCTGCAGTCTTAATGAGAATACGCACTAATTTCATTTCATCAATTTCCTAATAAAATTTCTTAACAAAACCCTCAAAAAGATCTTTCAAATGAGTTCCTTAATTTACTTAAGGATCTTTTATATAGACCAATAATTAATCACTTAGCTATTTCCACAATCTAGATTCCTAATATACTCTCATGCTATCAATGATAGTTAAGAGATGTGGAAATGCATTTTAGTGTTAATTCAAAATATTCATTTTTTAATTAATTTATTTAATAATTTTTGAAAATAAAAAATCAGATTGGGATTGCTAAATTTTTTTATACTTATTATATATTATGTTATATTGTTGCTTGATGAGAATTTGAATATAATCTTATTACAAATTAAAGACCTTCTTTACATTCCTTTAAGGTTGTACTCTTAGCAATAGCTCCAAGTACATCCCATAATTTAATAACAACATCTGAATTCATAGTGTTATGCATTTTAGTTAATAAATCGATCAATAAATCGATGTTTCTAATTTAACACACTTATTTAGTATATAATAAGTAAAATTAGCCAGGACATTTAAATTAAAGTAAATTAGTAATTGATTTAAGAACATATTTTGGATTGAACAAACTAGGAAACAATATTAAATTTATGCAATCACAATCTAGAATTAGTTTAGATAAATATATATCTACATCTGTTTCACCTTAAATTGATTACATGAGACCAATTAATTCTTCAACATCATTATAATAAAAACATTAAACAATTCTAATAATAAGAGACAATCTTGTATTCTATTTATTATGTATCTAATTTAATTATTTTCTTAATATATTATTGATTACTTAATTTTCAATTAATCTATTATTATACTCTGATACATATTAGTCATTATAAATCTATTATTGATTCCATAATTTTGATTGAGGTACTTACTTAATACTGTATTGATTAATTTAGATTATCTAATTAATAAGATTTTTAATAAATTAATTCTATTATTCAGTTAGTTGTCTCTTGGTACTTACCCATTCTTTTAATTTATTTATATTGAATACAGTTTTGATCTACAAAATTGTTACAGTTAATTTTAGAAATAATTACATTACATTAATTAAATATTAATCTTGATCACTAATTTTTAAATTAGGAAGTAGAGTAACAATTTCATAATATAAATCCAATATAATATTGTTATCATTATTCATACAATTCTAAATAAAATTAGTTATGATGTGTATGTTATTTTATGATTTAATAATAAAATCATTAAAATTAGGTATTGTTTTTATTATGGGAATTAATTAAAAATGTTAGTAAGGCATTTAATTATTTTCTTATGCTGTTAAAATCTAAGCAAATCTATAATCTTCATTTATACAACCTAAATCCCAGACATTACATAAATTACTAATCATTCTTTATAAATATTGATTGCTATCATTAAATGGAGATTGACTTGGACTCTAAATTTTTATTGGAGATGCTTTAGGTTAGGTAATTTTATTTGAATGCATCTCTTCTTCTATTGATGAGTTCATCCATTTCTTAATGAGTTTTTATTCTAGATCTGCTATAATTTGATCTTTCTATTATAATTATTAAGTTAAATTAGTAATCACCTATTTATTTTTTGCCTCATGCTAAAATAAATCAAAATTTTCAGTTGCCTTCTATTTTAATTATTATATCTATTTTTCTAATTCTTTTTATTTGACTGTGAATTATTGCAATTTCAAATTTACTAATTCATTTATTCGATTTTCAGCTGATTATGTTATCTCTGAAGCCATCTTATGAAATTTAGATTATTATTATTAAGTAACCGAGATATCTTATTCATATGAGATAGATTAATTATGAGGAGTATTATGATTTACAGTAGGTGCATCTTATATATCTCTTAGAGCAGTCAGTAACAATCCTAATAATCCTAAATGACGAGTATGAATTTAAAGTTTATTCAATGATAAAAGTTATCCATCTTCAGAAATCAAGTCTTTTATGAGAGTTTTTAATTTAATATTCAATTTTTCATTTAGATGATGATCCTCTATGATTTCTGGATATTCATTAAATAAAGCTTTAATAAAATAGGTTACAGGCACTTTATCCCAAGAATCACAAATTAATTTAGTATTTGTATTTCTTGAACTATTAGTATGCATATGTTCATGAAGAAAGTGCTTTTTAAGAAATTAATTCACTTCTTTATTAGTGATAATATAATCTATATATTATGCATCTTAAAACATTGATTAAGATCGATGAGTAATGAGAATGCTCTCTTAATAATATATTAAATTTATTACTATTTATTGGAGATTATGTAGATTAAGCACTTGGTGATCTCATATCTGATTAATTGGTTTGCACTTACAATGGTTTCGATTCTTTTCGTCGAAGAACTTCAGGGTATTTGAATTTGATATCATTTTCTTTTGTACTCATGGGACTTCTCTGTTGAGTATGATGTTGTATTTTGCCTTTGAGAATACTATTATCAGAATGCTCTGTTATTGTTATTTATGATTACTTCTTTGAAAAGCCTTGTTCATAACTAACTGTTAAAATAATTAAAATGTAAAATATATGAAATTATATGAAATTGCCAATTACAAATCTAAAAACTACATACTTAACCCTTCAATTCTAATTCTAATATATTAATCAATGATATTAAGTTAATTTAAATAATAATAATATTAAATCTTATTGGAACCCTAAAATTATTCATTCAATCAATATATCATCTTATTGCATAATTAGTAATATTGCTAGAATAAATTAATTGGTATTTCATAAATTCAGAATGAAAATCACTATTTATTATTGATCTAATAAATTAATTATATATTCAAAGTATTTATAAAAAATAAATTGTGAAATATATAATCCTATTTTGATAGTCATATCAAGTATCTTTTGGGTCGATATATAAAAGAAAGTAAGAAATAGCTATAATTAATGAAAATATATTTTTAATTGATTCAGATTAATCAAAGTGAAGAATATTCAAATAAAAAGGAATATTAATTTTAAGTATTTCAAAGCAACTAAATGTAAGAATATACAAAATTAAATGCTTGATTCTTAATCTAATTTTTAATACTCAATTAATAATTTACATATTAAAATGAAGTAACAATCTATTTCTAGCAAAATTCAGTCTTTCTTCTAAGAAATTATTAGGAAATGATGATGGCTTATTTCATAAGTTTTAATTTACTCAATGAAAAGGAGGGAAGAAATATTTTAATTTTAAATAATTTAATTCAATTAATAAAACCCATAAAATGAGAAAATTGAATTTTATATTTAAGTAAATTATACTCATTATAAAACTTATTCATCACCGAGCTCAACCTATAACGTGCTAATTTTTCGCCTTTTACTAAAGATTACCGTGGGTTGGGCTCATACCGGTGACTTACATAAATTTTTAGAGGTCGAAAGACCCCCCCACATTTGTATTTAATTAAACAAACGAAATATATATATATTTATTATTCTTATTGAATTGTTTTAAAGATTTTTTATTTGATATAGTTTAATGATTATAAATGAATTTAAGATTCAAATGATTTTATATATATTTTTTATATATATCATAATAATTCCAAATTCATTTCATCTGAAGACGATAAATATAGGTAAGAGTCTTGTCTTGGCTCTTATTTTTTATACACTAATGTCAATTAAAGGGGTGGGAATTCTTAATTACAATTGTTTTTAATAGCTGTGAACATTGTAGTTGAACTCTTAGAGCTCATAAGTGATTAAATCT